GGCCTTCGTTCATTCTATTATCATCTGCTGTAAACACTTACGTAGACACTGTAATATATAAGTCAGGGTGAGATAGCAACCGATGATCCTAAGAGTGGCATTAACCAGGTAATGAAAGGATTTCATAGAGGAGAGGAAATGAGGGGTTCTCTGGACCCTTGTGAGGATTGTTTGATGGACGTGTTTTTTTTTTTTTTTTTTTTTTTTTTTTTTTTTTTTTTTTTTTTTTTTTACAGGCAGAGTGGACAGTTAGAGAGAGAGAGACAGAGAGAAAGGTCTTCCTTTGCCGTTGGTTCACCCTCCAATGGCCGCTGCAGCTGGCGCACTGCGCTGATCCAAAAGCAGGAGCCAGGTGCTTCTCTTGGTCTCCCATGGGGTGCAGGGCCCAAGCACTTGGGACATCCTCCACTGCCTTCCCGGGCCACAGCAGAGAGCTGGCCTGGAAGAGGGGCAACTGGGACAGAATCCGGCGCCCCGACTGGGACTAGAACCTGGTGTGCTGGCGCCGCTAGGTGGAGGATTAGTCTATTGAGCCGCTGTGCTGGCCGATGGACGTGGTTTAAATCTGATCCCAGCTGAGACCAGGAGAAAGACCACTCGACTTTTGCAAGTAGAGGGGTTTGTCTGTAGAGAAATTCTGAATAATCATACAAATTAAGTACAGGAGAGGACCATCAGTACACACATGTTGGGAGTAGAGCCATTGATGTTGGAGTAGAGGTGGGCTTATAAGTTAAGAGGCCCAGACTTATCTATCTCTTCACATAGGGTACATCCTAAGGTAGGTATGAACCTTCTTGGGGAAGGCACTCTGTTGACTTTCGTTACCCAGCTGGTCTGGGAGGAGAGCTGGATAGGTAAAGGCAGGTGGCATCTCTAACAGGAAATTTACAGTTCTGCCTGTAATGTTGTTGACCCTACTTGGCTGTCCCCTCTCAGCAGCAGTGGTCACCTTGGAAGCTGGGCTGAGTGAATGGCTTTTCAGCTTAGAGCCAATAAGATCTGTGGCTCTGACCTGAAGTCCTTCGACTCCAGGGCAGTTCCATTTCCAGTGATCCAACTCTTGGCTGGCAGAGCTGCCAGGGCTCTTCACAAGCTAATTTCTGCTGAAGCCCAGGCTCACCACATTGAAAGCCACTGCAGTGGGTTGGGTCTCCTTGAGGGCAGACCACTGTACAGAACAGCCATTAATAGGCTGCCACCTACATTCACATTTCTGATGCCTGGCTTTCTCTTCCTCCTGGTTTTTGTTAAAGCAGACCAGAGGATGCAAGTCAAGGGGGTGCTCAAGTCCCAGATCACTTCCTGACAATAGCAATATCAAATGAAAACTTAGAAAGCAGTTTCAATCATTAGATAACAAATATAGCAGCGTCAATACTAGCTTTTTAAACTCTTTAACTGTTTTTTACTTTACCAATTGATTCAAATTACTTTCTGCTCTTAGTAACCTCAGCTAACCATACTTTCAGTTCGTACCTATAATACATTATTGGCTTCATCTGTTTACAGCGCCATCCCAAAGTACTGAATACAATAGATGTGGCTGGAAAAAGTCCATCAGAACCTATAGGAGGACAGCTAAGCACAGAACCAACAATGCTTTAGTTTTATGAGCAGCAAATCTGATATATAAAACTGTGGATGACAAAAGACTTTCAGTTGCCACGTTTAAAATTATAAACTCATTATAAATTCAACAAGAGGCACGTGCTTACTTCACATAGCATTTTTGAAAGCATCTGTAGGATTTTACAGAACATTTAACTCTTTAGGCCTCTGTGGCTTTCTCATTAAGATCCAAGATTTCTTTCTTTTGTAACCTTCTGTGACTTCCACACACCCTCTTCAACTTACTTGAAATATTCCATCATTTCCATTCCAGTCTAGAGTAAACTAGCCATCAGGATGAAGTCAATCTTACAAACCTTGTCCTTTCTTTATTCAAAATAACTCTTTCCTTTTAACCTTCCTTACCAAATGCACATTTCTATAACATTTTTAACACAAATTTAGCATGCTGAGTATACAAGAGTTTACAATAAATTAGCAGTTACGCCTAAATGACTTAAGATGCTGATATGATATATCTCTACTTGAATTCAATTAAAATTAAAATTGCATTCATCTAAAACAAGTACTAATTACCCATTGCTGTTTCATTGAGTACTGATTACCTGGAAACCTGTTAAAATAAATTGCAAAAATAAGTTCAGCAAGTTACAAAGCAATATTTTCAAAGGAACAGGTCCTTTTAAAACTTTGCCAGAGGGCGGCCAGGGAAGCAGGAGCAGTGAATCCCATTAGGATGGGGGTAGGGAGCTTGACACTAGTGGTTGGGCCACATGGCTACCTGGCTTCCAGCAATGGCTGCGGGGAGAGGCAGGAAGTGGCGGTGGGGGCCGAAGAATGCGCATATGGGGGCGGGAGGTTCCTGGCTAGCTGTGGGATCCCCAGGAACTCAGGAGGGTCTGAAAAGGTGGAGGGTGGAGAGTTCAGCAGTAACACAGAAGAGGCGTCCTTAGGAGGTAGGGGCCCGATCTTGGCCAGCAAGACCTGGGCCGTGGAGCAGGCAGAGAGGAAATTAGAGAAGAGGGTAGGATGGGAGCGGAGGTCTCAGGAAGCCTGAACATATGGGACCTCTGACCATTTTCTCTCCCTGCGGCAGAAATTCTCAAGGTAATTAGGCCATGCCTGGGTGGAGTAGAAGATTAGGCGTTTACTCCGTAGGTCCTGGGCCAGTCCCAGTTTCTTCAAGTTCTTTAGGAGGCAGGCCAGGAGGCATTTTGAGTCCAACCCTCGGGATTGGCCAGAGCCCATGGACTCCCTGGTAGCCCGGATCTACTGAAATTCGGTCAAGGCGTCCCCTGTCCTGGACTTCAGCAGACGGTTTAGAGGTCAGTCCTCTACGGGGCCAAGCCAGAGGCAGGACGTCTCCACAAGCCGCTGGGAGGCTAAACAGCGGAGAACAGAGCCCACGTGCGCACGATTTGGAGGTCTCTGTCCAGACAGAGAGCTAGCCAGAGATCGCAGAGACTGGGCCAACCCAGAGGAGGGAGGGAGAGCAAGGGAGAAGTTACTTACAGTTGGTCAAGCATGGTCCATAGTTAGCCTGGGGCACCAGACAGGTTCAATAAGCGAGGGGGCCTCGAACCCAGAAAGGGGAGGCTCTAAACCTCAGGTCCCCAGTTTCAGCACCATCTGTAAGGTGTCTGGTGCGAAACAGATCTTCCCAGGCAGACGAATCAATTAATTCACAGGCTTTTATTGGGGTTCCGCTCCGGGGCGAGGTTCCACGGTCCCAACAGAGCGGGGCCGGGGAAGTCGCGCGTCAGAGGTTGGGAGGGCTCCTTTTATAGATTCAGGGCATGGGAGTTAAAGGTTGAGGTGGGTCTGACCCTCATTGGTTGACCTTTAGGCACCCGCAGGGACCCTGACAAGGACTTTCTTCCCCGCAAGTACAGGCAGGGACTTCCATTCCCGCAAGTATAGGTCTTCCTCCTTGCGGATCCCAAAGCTATCACACTAGCAGATGGGAGTCTCTTTCTCTCTGTCTCTACCAGAGAGATTAAACCTAAAAGTGCATTTTTAAAGGCTATTTACCAAGAATTGGAATCGTTAAGTCAGAGTATGAGAAATTTTAGTTTGGGAAAATATTTCAAACTTGTTCATCAATGCTGCTCATTATAGCAATTTATGAGAAAGCTCATTTCCTTGCCAACAAAATGTCATTAATCTTAAACACCTATTTTTTTTTTTTTTTGACAGGCAGAATGGACAGTGAGAGAGACAGAGAGAAAGGTCTTCCTTTGCCGTTGGTTCACCCTCCAATGGCCGCCACGGCTGGCGCACTGCGCTGATCCAATGGCAGGAGCCAGGTACTTCTGGTCTCCCATGGGGTGCAGGGCACAAGCACTTGGGCCATCCTCCAGTGCACTCCCTGGCCACAGCAGAGAGCTGGCCTGGAAGAGGGGCAACCGAGACAGAATCCGGCGCCCCGACCGGGACTAGAACACGGTGTGCCGGCGCCGCAAGGCGGAGGATTAGCCTAGTGAGCCGCGGCGCCGGCCAAGAAACACCTATTTTTTTTTTTAAATATGAAAGTCAGAGTTACACAGGGAGAGGAGAGAGGCGAGGCAAAGAGAGAGGTCTTCCATCTGCTGGTTCACTCCCCAGGTGGCTGCAACGGCTGGAGCTGCACCGATCCAAAGCCAGGAGCTTCTTCCGCGTCTCCCACGCGGGTGCAGGGGCCCAAAGGCTTGGGCCATCTTCCACTGCTCTCCCAGGCCACAGCAGAGAGCTGGATCGGAAGTGGAGCAGCCGGGTGTCGAACCGGCGCCTCAGGCCAGGGCATTAACCCGCTGTGCCACAGCACCTATTCTTTTAATTTGAGAGAGAGCGCGCCAGCTCTCCCATCTGCTGGTTCCATCCGCAAGCGCCCAACACAGCTGGGGCTGCGTCAGGGGACGCCAGGGGCCTCGCACTCCATCCGCTCTCCCACGTGCCTGCCTGGGACCCATTCATTTGAGCCATCACCGATGGCCTCCAAATAGGAGAAGCTGGATCGGAAGCAGAGCCAGGACTGGAACCTGGGGACGCCAGTGCGGGATGCCAGCGACCCAAGCGGCGCGCCTTAGCTTCTTAGGCTTTTGCTTATTTTTGTTCGCAGCTCCCTCTTCTAGAGCCTGAGATGAGCCTCTTGGGTTTTCCCAAAAGGCATCCGAAAGGGCCACTGAGCTGGCCAACGCCCCTTCTGCGGATGGGGGCGAGCTCGCGCCGCCCCGGCGCCCGCCTGCGACCCGCGGCCGTGTCGATGACCCTCCCGTGGACTAGGTAAACTAGCCCGGCGCCCGGGCGCCTCGAGACGCCCACTGGCCGGGGAAGGAACTCGGGACAACCGGAACGCCTCGGAACCAGAGGCGCCGCCGCTCGCACCGGAGGGAACGCTTTTGCGGGTGACTTCCGGGGCGGGGCCTTCGGGAGCGGAAGTGCCGGGTGGCGGGGCGGGGGGGCCGCGGGGGATCCTGGTGTCTGAGGGGGCCGGCTGGAGCCGGGCGCGAGGGCTCGCGAGCCTCGGAGCGGGCGCTTTCCGGGAGGCGGGTGCGGCGTCGACCGGCGCCTCACGCCCCGGCTCGCGGCCATGAACTTGGAGAGGCTGCGGAAGCGCGTCCGGCAGTACCTGGACCAGGTGGGTGGTCCGGCCGGGACCCTGGGCCTCGAGTGCGCCCGGGCCTGGGGGCCGCGGTGATGGCGGAGGGGCGAGGGAGGGGTCGGACTGGCGCGGGCCGCGGCTCGGCCGGCGGGAGGCCCCCGGGGTCGGGCGCCGCTGCAGGGAGGCCGCCCACGTGTCAGGCCCGCGGCCGGCCGGGATCGGAGGGTCGTCTCAGAGCAGATTTGCGGGGTGCTCCGTGAGCTTGGCCGGCCAGCAGAGCGTCGGCTGCAGTCGTAGTTGCGGTTCTTACTGACTGAGCGAAGATGTCAACTCGCCTGCCGTCTCGAGTCAGCGCTTTTAAAATCTTGCTAACCGCATCCGCGTTCCCTGCCTGCCTTTGAACGGCAGCACAGCGTGCTAAGGCAGGAAGTGTCCCCAGAATCTGCAGCCACGTCTTTGTGCGCGATGCCGTGAAGATTTGCTAAAACGCTGGCGGGCAGTGCATTGGAAACGCAGTGAGGAGAAGGCGCGTTCCAGCGCAGTGTTCCGGGTTGAACGCTGCGTGATTCGGCCAAACGTTTGCAGTTGCTGGAGAGCTGTCGTTTTGTTTGCCATACGTCCCTTGAATCAAACAGCAGATGTGTTCCAGCCGTTTTTTTCTTGGCCGTGGGATGTATCGAGGAGTAAGACAGGCCTGGTTCTGCCAGCAGGGACCATCCCGTGGGTGTCCCCTTTCCGCCCCCCGGCAGCGGATGTCCGTGTTTCACGTGCAGGGAGCGGGCAGAGGTGGGAGAGGGGCTGAGTGAGGGCCAGGAGACTGCAGTGGCCATGGTGAATCTGAGTGGCTCATTTCTGGTGGAGCTGGCCGGAGAAGGGGACTTTCCCAGTGGTCAGTGAAGGTTTGTGTGTGTTTGAAATTTGAGTAGTACTCAGTTTACAACTGTGTTGTATGAGGTGTTTGAGTGCAGGGTTTCATCTAGGAAATTTCATTTTGGGATTCACTAACAGCTTGTTGAAAGTGTTGCTATGTAAATATCAATACAAGAAGTACTAATGACTAGAGACTGAGCTATTGCAAAATAATCATTTAAATTATCTCCTGTTTTAGATACTTGCTGATACATTTTTGCAGTGTATGAGTATAAACACCCCCTGGGTGGGGGTTTGCTGCAGGGGTTTGAGAGGCACCTTGGGGTGTCCGCATCCTATGTCAGAGCACCTGGTTAGAGTCCTGGCTCTGCTTCTGATCCAGTGTCCTGCTAATGTGCCCCCTGGGAAGCAACAGGTGATGGCTGAAGTTCGTGGTCCCTGCCACCCATGTGAGGGATCTGGGTTGAATTCTTGGCTCATGGCAGGAATCTGGGGAGTGAACCAGGGGATGGAAGCTCACTCGCTCTTGCGCCCGCGCTCTCTGCCTTTTTTTTTTTTTTTTCTCTTTTAAGATGTATTTATTTATTTGAAAGTCACAGAGAGAGGGGATGAGAGATAATCTTCCAGCCACTGGTTCACCGCCCCCAGATGGCCATAATGGCCAGGGCTGAGCTAGGCCAAAGCCAGGAACTTGAGTTGGGTCTCCCACTTGGGTAGCAGAGGCCCAAACACTTGGGCCATCTTTTGCTGCTTTTCCCAGGACATTAGCTGGGAGCTAATTGGAAGTGGAGCAATCAGGACTCTAACCAGCGCCCGTATGGGATGCTGGTGTCTCAGGCGTCGGCTTTACCAACTATACCACAACACCAGCCCCTCTCTGCTTTTCAAATGAAATAAAAGTATAATTTAATAAAAAGCCTTAATGAATTGTATATGCAGAAATTCTACAGTAATATTTTTATTGTGCCATTGAACTAAAACTCATGCTAGCTGAGCTGTAACACTGTGGTGTGACAGACCCCATGCTACATGTAACAGGCTGTTGTGTGGAAGTGTTGGTGTATGCTGTAGGGGTCTACTAACTGTAGGTGTCTGTTTAAAGCTGTTGAAGTGACAGCACACTCACCGCTTGCCTTTCCTTTTTTGTGCTCAGCAACAGTATCAGAGTGCTCTGTTTTGGGCAGATAAAGTAGCTTCCCTCTCTCATGGTAAGTGACAAATGCCAAGTTTTTTCTGTTTAACCTTTTGAAATGTTTCTGTCTCGCCTTGCACCTCTGACGTCTTGTGTGACTGTTCCCTGCAGAGGAGCCCCAGGACGTGTATTGGCTGGCTCAGTGCCTGTACCTGACCGCACAGTATCACAGAGCAGCCCATGCGCTCCGCTCTCGGAAACTGGACAAAGTGAGTGCAGAGTCGTGTGAACTTAACAACTTGGATTAGTGTTTTAGGAGCATCTCCTCTTTATGCCAAACTTGTTTAAAGGGGTTCAGTATTTAGTTTTTCTTGAATGTGAAAAGATATTAGTTATTTCTAACCATGGTCCCTCCATCTAGTCACTGAGTTCTACAGATTCTGTGTTCTCTGCAGCTTTGAAATCACGGGTATCTCTTTTCATCTCCTCACCACTATTGCTAAACTCTCTGTCTTGTCTCTTTTCTCCACTAACATTTCCTCCCTTCCCACCTTCCCTGGGTCCAATTCACTTGTAAACTGCAAGGATGGCCTGGATCTGATTTTGTCACCCACGGAGTCTTTCAGCAATTTCCTGTTACCTACAGGATCAAGTCAGATGCCTGAGGTCCTCCAGGATTTCTCTCTAGTCTGTGTTTAACTTGCTGCCACCATCAGTGCAAGTAGCACAGTCTGTTTTGAGCTGCCTTGGTTCCTTGGACCTGTAGCACCCAGTGCCTGGTTGCGCCCAGCTCCTCACCAGCCCTCTCTCTGCCATGTCTCCTTCTTGAGCTGCTTGCGTGTACTTCTTTTGTGGTGCTTATCCGCTGTGCTGTTTTTGTCTCCCTGTTGTATGTAACTGCTAAAGCAGACCCTCAGTCCTTTTTGAATCCTTAGTGAACAGGAGGCTAATGATCAATATAGGTTTTAAAAGTACTGGAATATTTTTTTACACTGCAATGAGAAATTATGAAATTAGCTCTCTATCCTTCCAGTTTTTTTAAGTGAAGAGACATACTATTTTGACTACTTTTTGATGGTTTTCTTTCTTTTCTAGCTATATGAAGCATGTCGATACCTTGCAGCTAGATGCCATGTAAGTGTTCTCAGTTCCAGTTTTGTTCAATGAGACTTTGATCATGCAGTGTTAGGTCTCCTGCATGTATATGTGAGAATTTTAATGGTGGTTCATGGCAGGTTATTAAAGTATTTCATGAGCAAATGTTCATTTCTTTTTCACTGTTTGCTGTAAAATACTGGTTCTTCATTTACTAAAAGGTGACATGCCTGAAGAAAATTGTATTTTAGACATTTTAAAATCTATGGATATAATACTTTGATTTCCCTTTAAAGCTGTAGAGTATGTGTGTGTGTTTGCTGTGAGAAGCCACGCTGATGACTAGCGTTTCTGTTCTCTGTAGTATGCTGCAAAAGAGCACCAGCAGGCTCTCGACATTCTTGATATGGAGGAGCCAATCAACAAAAGATTATTTGAAAAATACTTGAAGGATGAGAGTGGTTTGAAAGACTCCTCCAGTGACTGGGAGATGTCACCATCCTCAGTAAGTGACAATATTTTCACTCTCATTGAAATCAGGAAGAACTCACATTGCTAGCATCCTTGTGTAATGGTGCTTGCCGACTTATTTATGCACCTCAGCATCTCACCCAGCAAGATGAGAACTTTCTGAGCTGTCAGCTGGAAGCTGTAATTAGGTTCTCAGATGCTCCTGAGGTGGTCTGGCCTGCTCTCTCCCTCTAAAGTTCTGACAACGTGCACCACTATCTGTGGGTGGGACAGCCTTCCTCCTGGTTCTATGTTCTGTGTTTTGGACCCAAAGAAACCTTGATTGGCTCAGTTTGTTTCTTTCCAGGAAATACTGTTTATTTCACGGTTCTTTGTTCTGTTTTCCTCATATGTTCCAGTTTGCATACTTCCCAAGATCTCGTACAGAGACTATGAAATATAACTTAATATCAGCCACAGTCAGATGGCTAATACGAATTGTTACTTTTTTTTCACAGTTTGCTGAGACATAATTCACACCCAATGCAATTCATTCACTTAGAAATGTGCAGTTTGATGGTGTTTAGTATATTGAGCGTATTCACGGAAGTGGTCAGTTCTGGAACGTCTGGTATATTCGCAGAGTGGTACAGGCCTCGTGGTCAGTTCTGGAATGTCTAGTATGTTTACAGGGTGGTACAGGCCTTCCCTGCTCTGTTCTAGAACATTTAGTGTATTCACAGAGTGGTGCAGGCCTTGTGGTCAGTTCTCAGAACATCTTTTATCCTGCAGGGACCCTGAATCCCTTGATTTTCACCCCAGTTCTTTGTATCAGACGTGTAAGGAACCTGGTTCTCGTTTCCATCTTAGAGCATGAGGAATATTGCACATTCTAGGTTTTTTTCTCTACTGTCCGTCCGTCCCTCCCTCCCTCCCTCCCTCCCTTCTGTCTTAATCTGTTTACTCATCTACTTTATGTATTCAGAAGCAAGTTAATTTTTCTGCCAGGAAATGCTTTTATGAATGAGTTTGGAATTATTTTTGAATCTTTTAGCATTTATCTGCTAAGAAATGGGTAATTCATTTATAATGTTGTTTATGTTGTAAAATTACTTTTTTTCAGTGTCTCAGAAGATACTGTCTAGGTCTAAGATTCTCACAATGCCAGTTGTTTTTAAAATGTCGATTGACAAATTCCTTTCAAATCCTTGATGATTCTTGCTGCTTCTCAGCTGCAGTTCTTGAGGTTCAGTTCTGGAAAGGGAGTCAGGTTTCCATAAATCTCTTGTAAGTGGTGGTGCTGAGTTGCTGTTGTGCATGTTCCTGTGTGTTGTCCTAGGAGGGGTAGTAGCATCTGTAACCCCCAGAGGTCTGTAAGTTAGGTTGTGTTTCCCCCTCTTTACCAATGGGAACAGGAAACAGAAGCCATGAGAGGGTAGATCACTTGTCAAAGCTCATGAGTACGTGACATGGCTTTGATATGAACTCATGTGTGTCCAGCTGCACCAAGCCATGCTCCTGGCTAGTGGGACCCCTGTGCTGCATTGCTGTCAGTTTTTCACAAACTAAGATCTTTTCACAGGGGAAAGAAAGTTTGCTGTCTTTCTTTTTTTTTTTTTTTTTTGACAGGCAGAGTGGACAGTGAGAGAGAGAGAAAGGTCTTCCTTTGCCGTTGGTTCACCCTCCAATGGCCGCCGCGGCCAGCGCGCTGCGGCTGGCGCACCGCGCTGATCTGATGGCAGGAGCCAGGTGCTTCTTCTGGTCTCCCATGGGGTGCAGGGCCCAGGGACTTGGACCATCCTCCACTGCACTCCCTGGCCATAACAGAGAGCTGGCCTGGAAGAGGGGCAACCGGGACAGAATCCGGCGCCCCGACCGGGACTAGAACCCAGTGTGCCGGTGCCTCAAGGTGGAGGATTAGCCTAGTGAGCCGCAGCGCCGGCCAGTTTGCTGTCTTTCAATCCTTGATGTATTTGGGGCAGAACAAATGATGAACCCAGTAGCTGTGGCATGTACAGGAAGATTTGTTGGGCTAAAGTGATTTGAACTCCAGGAAGAAAGACTAGAGAAGCTGTGTTTTGTTTTCTCATGTTCACGTAATTATTATTCTTTTTTTTTTTTTTTTTTTTTTTTGACAGGTAGAGTTATAGACAGTGAGAGTGAGAGAGAGAGAGAAAGGTCTTCCTTCTGTTGGTTCACTCCCCAAATGGCCGCTATGGCCGGAGCTGCACCAATCCGAAGCCAGGAGCCAGGTGCTTCTTCCTGGTCTTCCATGAGGGTGCAGGGGCCCAAGCACTTAGGCCATTCTTCACTGCCCTCCTGGGCCACAGCAGAGAGCTGGACTGGAAGAGAAGCAACTGGGACTAGAACCTGACACCCATATGGGATGCCGGCGCCGCAGGTAGAGGATTAACCAAGTGAGCCACGGCGCCGGCCCTTCAAGTAATTCTTAACAATGATTTAACAGTTGGGATGAACTAAATCTTGCAGAAGTATTAAAGCTTCTTGCCATTCTAATAATAAATAATTTATAGTAAAAAAATAAGTTTAGAAGCATTAATAACTTAGTATGTGACTTGTATTTTCATCAGATAAAGAGTTCAATTTGTCTTTTACGAGGGAAGATCTATGATGCTCTGGATAACCGAACCTTAGCTACCTACAGCTACAAAGAAGCTTTGAAGCTCGACGTCTACTGTTTTGAGGCATTTGATCTTTTAACGTCACACCACATGTTAACAGCCCAAGAAGGTTCGGAAGCTCTGGTATTCTTATGTTTAGCACAGTTAATGCTGTTTTTTTCTCTGAAATCTGGAGTCAAGAGTAGGCGTAAGCAGACCTGCTAAATAATTTTCACAGTGACTTCATATGAGAGCACACCGCCAGACGCAGTACTGCCTTTTGCTATTGTAGGGATTTCTATGATGTGAGAGGCCATCTGTGGGGAGTGATCTGAAGTAGTGCAGGTGGAACTGAGGCTTCAGTATTGGATTCAGTGATCCCAGCCTGGCTGCATGGTCAGTCCCTGAGAAACTGAGAACACCAGGTCCCAACTCCAGACCTGCTCAGTCAGTCTCCAGAGGTGAGGCATCAGACGACCTCAGGCTCCAGATGACCCTCATGTACCATAGGGGCTGAGCCACTGACCTGGTGTTCAGTGCTGGTGCGAAGTGGGTGACAGAAGGAACAGAAAGTGGGGTTCAGACATCTCAGCCTAGTGCAGTGATTCTTGTCTAGTGCACTTTTTTTTTTTTTTTTTAAGATTTATTCATTTATTTGAAAGAGTTAACACAGAGAAGGAGAGAGGCAGAGAGAGAGAGGTCTTCCATCCATTGGTTCATTCCCCATTTGGCTGCAGTGGCTGGAACTGTGCCGATCTGAAGCCAGGAGCCAGGAGCTTCCTCTAGGTCTCCCATGCAGCTGCAGGGGCCCAAGGACTTGGGCCATCTTCTACTGCTGTTCCAGGATATAGCAGGGAGCTGGATCGGAATTAGAGCAGCTGGGTCTCGAACTGGTGCCCATATGGGAAGCCGGCACTGCAGGTGGTGGCTTTATCTGCCATGCCACAGTGCGGGGCCCCGTCCAGTACACTTTTGCCCTTGGGGACATTGGCCTTGTCTGCAGATCTTGGTTGTCACCACAAGGGGGAAGGAATGAGAGATGGGAGGTTGCTGCTGGCATCTAATGCCTGGAGGTCACAGGTTCTGCTGAATACTGTGCAGTGCGGGGATGTTCTCACAACAGACAGTGGAGCTAAGGTCGGGGAGGGGGCCTCAGTCCGGCTGATGTCAGCAGCCACCTGCAGGCTTCCTGGCCCAGCTCTAGAAGAGGTGCCTCTGCCTTCTGGGTGACTCACCTGGGTTTGGGAACATAGTGCCAGCTTTGTCTAGAACCTTCTAAGCTTATTTTCTTTTTTGAAGTTTTATTTAGTAGGAACTATAGGAGAATATTTTTAACTGCTTTGTTTTTTTCTATGAATATTATGAGGACATTCTCTTTTTTTCTTACCGTTTATAAGAAAAAGAACTTCTTGACTCACTACCTCTTAACAAACTTTGTGCCGAAGAACAGGAATTGCTACGTTTTCTATTTGAAAACAAATTAAAAAAGGTAAGGAAAACACAAAATTAGTATTTACTTTATGTAAATGTCTTGTTTCTTCCACTAAATTTGGCCTCTTATTTTTAAAAATAAAAAAAATTAAGATACTTTGTAAGATTAGATCCAGATTATTTAAAATACATGATATGATTCCTAAAAAAACAAAACTTTCTTCCTTCCAAGGACTCCTTATACTAAAAGGTTGAATTATCAAATCAATGGGATGGTGTTGCATGTAAATAAGGATTTTTCTTGTGTTTCCTGAGCCCCTGCTTGGTGAAGTGCTTCTTGTCAGGGGACTGTGCAAGGACATTGAGAGGAGTCTTGATGACACTTGAAGTCAGTGAAGTTGTCAGAGACTTACGTTTGTCCTTGCTTGTGTAAATGTTTCAACCACTTAGGCCAAACAGAGATTGAGTTTGTCTTTTGATTTGTTGTTGTTCATTGAGTTTATGTTTTGATTTCTCTGTTTCAGTATAATAAACCTGGTGAAACTGTCATTCCTGAGTCTGTAGATGGCCTGCAGGAGAACCTGGATGTGGTAGTGTCTTTAGCGGAGAGACATTATTATAACTGTGACTTTAAGATGTGCTACAAGCTTACTTCTGTGTGAGTATATCCATCTGTTTTTGTATAGGGCCTTGGGGTCTAGCACATATCCAAGTAACACACAGATGAGCTTTCTGTATACTCTGGGGCTAGGTGTGGGTCAATGAGGTCGCCTTTACTGTTAGCTGAGCACCAAACGGGGCGCTGTCCTAAAAGAGCAACTGACAAGCACAGGACTGCAGATTGCAAGTGACTGTTTGCACTGGGAAGAGTGTCCGTCTTCCTCGCCCCAGTCTTAATAATCGTTGGCAAATGTGAAAGTACTCTTTTGGTGCACAGCTTTTTATAAAATATGCTCTCTTTATTTAAGTATAGGCTAATACAACCTTACAGGCACTGTGTGCTGGTCTGGCACCTCACTTGCACAACAGTATTCCAGTCTGTGTAATTCACACTTATCCTTCAGCTAAATTACATATGCTGAATTGTGTGTATCTTTTGGGCTGTTTAAGATTTTTTTTTTTTTTTTTTTTTGACAGGCAGAGTGGACAGTGAGAGAGAGAGAGACAGAGAGAAAGGTCTTCCTTTGCCGTTGGTTCACCCTCCAATGGCCGGCGCGGCCGGCGCGCTGTGGCCAGCGCACCGCGCTGATCCGATGGCAGGAGCCAGAAGCCAGGTGCTTTTCCTGGTCTCCCATGGGGTGCAGGGCCCAAGCACCTGGGCCATCCTCCACTGCACTCCCTGGCCACAGCAGAGGGCTGGCCTGGAAGAGGGGCAACCGGGACAGAATCCGGCGCCCCGACCGGGACTAGAACCCGGTGTGCCGGCGCCGCTAGGCGGAGGATTAGCCTAGTGAGCTGCGGCGCCGGCTTAAGATTTTTTTAAATCACAAAATGTATAATTGGCAAATACTTGTGATCCATTTAATCTTCATATTGTTTCTGATGCTTTTAAATAATTGGACTTTATTTTATATAAGTGTGTTGATTTGTGGTAAACATATGTGATACTGTTTATTTTCATTCTTCCCAAATATACCACAATTTTTTCATTTATAAGCTAGCCATTGTCTTAGTCTGAAGGTGGTGGAGTGAGGTGCAGTGCTGGGTGCTAGCACTGTTTCTGAGGTGCTGATGGGTCGGTTGCTTTAACTTTCAGAGTAATGGAGAAAGACCCTTTCCATGCAAACTGTTTGCCTGTACATATAGGGACACTGGTGGAACTGAATAAAGCGAATGGTAAGACTTCTTTCTTTCTTTCTTTTTTTTTTTTTTTTTTTGACAGGCAGAGTGGACAGTGAGAGAGAGAGACAGAGAGAAAGGTCTGCCTTTGCCGTTGGTTCACCCTCCAATGGCCGGCGCGGCCGGCGCGCTGTGGCCAGCGCACCGCGCTGATCCGATGGCAGGAGCCAGAAGCCAGGTGCTTTTCCTGGTCTCCCATGGGGTGCAGGGCCCAAGCACCTGGGCCATCCTCCACTGCACTCCCTGGTCACAGCAGAGGGCTGGCCTGGAAGAGGGGCAACCGGGACAGAATCTGGCGCCCCGACCGGGACTAGAACCCGGTGTGCCGGTGCCGCTAGGCGGAGGATTAGCCTAGTGAGCCGCGGCGCCGGCCAAGACTTCTTTCTTACTAAAACAGTTCTTGAGACAAAAAGTAATTTCTGTAACTCTTAAAATTTTGTGTTTCTGATCCTGGGTAGTTGAGATTGCAGGTAACAACATTATAGAATTCTCCAGTAAAAGTAAGATGAGGGGAAAGAACTGTGTATCACAGTGACCTCTAACACAGTGGTTTAAATCTTTATCCCTGTTTCCTTTTTTTTTTTTTTTTTTTTTAAGATTTAATTAATTTATTTAAGAGGTGGTTAAAGACAGAGAGAGAGAAACAAAGGTCTTTCATTTGCTGGCTCATTCCCCAAATGGCCACAACGGCCAGAGCTGGTTCTCTCTTAAGCCAGGAGCCCGGAGCTTCTTCTGGGTCCCTCATGAGAGTGCAGATGCCCAAGCATTTGGGCCATCTTCCACTGCTTTCCCAGGCCATAGCAGAGAACTGGATCAGAAAAGGAGCAGCTGGGACATGAACCGTCGCCCGTATGGGACACCAGCATTGAATCGGAGGCTTAGCCTACTGTGCCACAGCACCAGCCCCCAATCCCTGCTTCCTTTTCTAAGATGTAACTTGTGGTTCCAGGTCTGTTAGGGTTAGAGTGTTTTTTTTTTTTCTTCTTTTTGTAAATTAAATAAGAAAACTGATGTGGCAAGAGGTAGTAAGTGTTAAAAATCAGAAGGGAACAAACAGTTGTGTTTTCTATATTTTTGCATTTCAGAAACAGTTGTGTTTGGACTGTATTTGCCCTTCAGTGTTTCAAAACTGTATAGAGGGGCCGGCTCTGTGGTATAATACGTTAAGCTTCTGCCTGTGGCGCTGGAATCCCATATAGGTGCCAGTTCATGTCCTGGCTGCTCCACTTCTGATCCAGCTCTCTGCTGTGACCTGGGAAAGCAGTAGAAGATAGCATAAGTACTTGGGCCCCTTCCCTCGTGGGAGACCCAGAGGAAGCTCCTGTCTCCTGGCTTTGGATTGGCTCAGCTCTGGCCACTGTGGCCACCTGGGGAGTAAACCGGTCACTTGGGGAGTGAACCGGCAGATGGAAGACCTTTCTCTCTGTCTCATCCTCTGTCTGTAACTCTCCCTCTCAAATAAGTAAATAAATAAAGAAATAAAGAAATAAACCTTAAAAAAAAAAAAAAAAAGAAAACAAAACTGTATAGAGAGCCCTGTCTGGAGGGGAAGCCCAGGCGTCAAGCTTACTGTGGTCTATGGCTGCAGCATAGTGTGCCCCGAGTTGTGAGATGCTGAGGTTTACATATTTCTCAGAAGGAAATAATCTGGCTGATCTGGTCAGCTGTGGAGTTTGCTGAGGCACATTGGTTGTGTGTGGTTGCAGTGGTGGCCTGGACAGTGTGGTGAAGTTCATTGTCAGGGCACCATGGTGCCCATGCTGCCCACCTTGTGTCCCTCCGCACTCAGTCACTCATTAAGCGCTTGGTGGCTGCGTGGGCCTGGCACCTGGTGAGGTGTTGGGCCTGTGTTTGCCTGATGAGGCTTTTCTACTTCACTAGGTAAATGGCTGTTGAATCTGGCAGGAAAGAAGGTATGAAATTATTGCTGTGAGAACAGACTTTGTGTCGTTGTGAACAGTTGGGACTAAGGGGAAAGTCCTATTTTAAATTGCATTTGATGTGAGTAATTATATTCCTTTTTTTCTTTTTCCCTAATACAGAGCTTTTCTATCTGTCTCATAAACTGGTGGATTTATATCCCAGTAATCCTGTAAGTAATGTAAATGTCTTTTCCAGCAGTGTATTTTGTTACCTGAACTTTAATAAAATACTGAATTAGTATTTAGATAATAGCTTATTTTTAAATTTAAGCAAATAAATTTTTTTTTTTTGACAGGCAGAGTGGACAGTGAGAGACACAGAGAAAGGTCTTCCTTTTGCCGTTGGTTCATCCTCCAGTGGCTGCCGTGGCCGGCGCGCTGCAGCCAGCGCACCATGCTGATCCGAAGCCAGGAGCCAGGTGCTTCTCCTGGTCTCCCATGGGGTGCAGGGCCCAAGCACCTGGGCCATCCTCCACTGCACTCCCAGGCCACAGCAGAGAGCTGGCCTGGAAGAGGGGCAGCCGGGACAGAATCCGGCGCCCCGACCGGGACTAGAACCCGATGTGTGGGCGCTGCAAGGTGGAGGATTAGCCTATTGAGCCGCGGCGCCGGCTGCAAATAATGTTTTATTTAAAGTGTTGAGTAGAATCTCTTGGTGCTTAGAATACTTAGATATCAGCATTAACTTTTTTAGTTCATGAAGTATTTTTTTTTATTTAACATTTTATTTATTTATTTGAGAGGTAGAGCTACAGACAATGAGAGAGAGATAGAGAGAAAGGTATTCCAGCCGCAACTGCCATAGCTGAGCCGATCCAAAGCCAGGAGTCAGGAGCTTCTTCTGGGTCTCCCATGTGGGTATAGGGGCCCAAGCACGTGGGTCATCTGCTGCTTTCCCAGGCCATTACAGAGAGCTGGATTGGAAGAGGAGCAGCCAGGACTCGAACCAGTGCCCATGTGGGATGCTGGTGCTGCAGGCGGAGGATTAACCTGTGCCATAGTGCTGGCCCCGAAGGTGTTTTTTAATTAGACTGAAACAATAACTTTAAAACTAAAACCTTTGTGTTTTTCTCATTATAGAGATTATACATGCTTGTTATTTAAAAATACTTAGTATACAGAAATATAAAGTAGTGACTGTGCCAGTAATGCTCCCACTCTTCAGAAGAAATGCTAATAATTGATAGGTAGCTTTGGGGCAGCCATTCAGCCTGCATCTCATATTGGAGTACCTGGGTTGGATCCCTAGCTCTTGACCCCAGCTTCCTGCCAGTGTAGACCCTGGGAGGCAGCAGGTGGTGGCTCAAGTGGTTGGGTTCCTGCCACTCACATTGGAGATCTGGATTAAGCTCCTGGCCCCTGGCTTCAGCCTGACCCAGCCCTGACTGTTGCAGGAGTGAATCAGCAGATGGGAATGTGTGTGTGTACTCTGCCTCTCAGATAATTTTTTAAAAATTGATGGCTTGTTCACATTTTATGTGTAAGATGATTCACTGAATTGCATGCTGTCTGAATCAGTGTCTTCCAAGCTGCCGTGGGGAAATGTGGATGGGAATGGACTCAGAAGCTGTGTCCTTATGACAGAGTCAGGAGTCAAGCTCTGAGTCAGATCTGCACCCTGGCACAGTGTGAAGTGTGCAGGAGAAGCCAGCTAGACACGAGCCACACTAAGGGGAGAGCCAGGAAGTGCCTAGGAGGGCCAGGGCTCCAGCTTGCTTTGAAATACCATGTCCCTTAGGAGCCCTGTCTTGGTGTTGAAGCCAACTGGGGGATGGGGATTAGTTGTGGAATTCCTGTTGTGTTCTCATCTAGGACCAAATAGATAGACTGTCTGGGAAATTTCTGACTTGAACTAGAATAAATGACATAGGAACATCTAGTCTTACTTTTGTGTGGTCTAATGTGTTATAAATACTTATTGAAAACTAAGTGTCTTTTGGTCACGGTAAATTTTGAACATTTTAGGTGTCTTGGTTTGCAGTGGGATGTTATTATCTCATGGTTGGTCATAAAAATGAACATGCCAGAAGATACCTCAGGTATGCATTTATTGTCTTGCCCCTGCTGTGAACCTGTAGGAAGCCATTTCTTGCTGCTGTGCTGTAAGTGCAGGGATTAGTGTTGAGGACTTGAGTGTGGGTGAGGAGTGAGTATTTCTTCAGACTCAAGATGCCGTGGCAGAAGATAAACTAAATCAGTTCTCCTGGAGCTCAGATGTTTTTAATACTATCAATGAGAACAAATATGAAATGAAATAATATAGTTGCAGAGGTTGTTTTTCATTACAGAGATACTATTAACCTTTTGTTTTTAAGACTTATCCTGTAAATAATTGTGAAATTACACGAAGCTTCACTTAACACCAGGGTCACTGGATGTGACTGTAAAGCAGAATTCTCCACTACGTGAACTCATTCCTATGTGGATCTGCTGAAGATGAAGCCGCACAGCCCAGTCAGGCTCTCCAACCAGGGTCAGGTGATAGGAAACTGTCCAATATGTGAAGAATTAATTACAGACTGAATGTAGTGGATCCTGTGATTTCATCTATGCAAAGTAGAAAGTGATCTCTAAGGGAGAATGGTCTTTGGGGTCAGACTTGAATTCTGATCCAAGTTTTGTGATCACTAACAATAGTGCTTTGGCAAAGTTACTTTCTCTCTTCTCAGAAAGTGGGGATCGGGGCCAACATCCCATATTGGAGCTCTGCTTCCAGTCCTGGCTGCTCCGCTTCTGATCCGGCTCCCTGGAAGGTAGCGGAGGATGCCCCAAATACTTTGGCCCTGCTATGCACACGGGAGACATGGATGGTGTTCTGGGCTCCTGGTTTCGACTTGGCCCAGCACTGGCTGTGGCAGGCATTTGGGGAGTGAACCAGTCTTTCTTGCCACTCTCCGTTTCAAATAAATAAATATATATATTTTTACATGGGAATATGTGTGTGTGTGTATGTGTGTGTGTATATATATATATAATTAACACACAAAATGTTACAGCTTTCATATAAACAATAATTCATTACAGGATACTATTACGGGAAAAAGCCATTTACAATAACATCAATGAAGATAAAACATTTAGGAATAGCATTAACAAAATATATGCAAAACTTATATGAGTTGGGGCTGGTGCTGTGGCGTAGTGGGTAAACCCACACCCTGCAATGCTGGCATGCCGTATGGGCAGCGGTTTGAGACCCAGCTGCTCCACTGTCGATCCAGCTCTCTGCTATGGCCTGGGAAAGCAGTAGAAGGTGACCCAAGTCCTTGGGCCCCTGCAACCAAGTGGGAGACCCAGAAGAAGCTCCTGGCTCCTGGCTTTGAATCGGCGTGGCTCCAGCTGTTGTAGCCACCTGGGTAGTGAACCAGCGGATGGAAGACCTATCTCTCTCTCTCTGCTTCTCCTTTTCTCTCTGTGTAACTCTGACTTTGCAGTAACTAAATACATCTTAAAAAAAAAAAAAAAAAACTTATATGAGGAAAACTTTTTTTAATAGAAAGCTTTGATTTAATAAGTATAAATTTCATAGGTACAACTTTTGGATTATAGCATTTTCCCCCCCATACCCGCCTTCCCTCCCCCAAACCGCCTCACCTCCTACTCCCTCTCTCGTCCCATTCTTCATTAAGTTTCATTTTTAATTATATGCAGAAGATCAACTCTATACTAAGTAAAGATTTCAATGGTTTTATATATATTTTTAAAGATTTATTTATTTATTTGAAAGAGTTACACAGAGAGGCAGAGAGATCTTCCATCCACTGGGTCACTTCCCAGTTGGCTGCAACGGCTGGAGCTGTCCTGATCCAAAGCCAGGAGCCAGGAGCTTCCTCTGGGTCTCCCACCTGAGTGCAGGGCCCCAAGGACTTGGGCCATCTTCTACTGCTTTCCCAGGCCACAGCAGAGAGCTGGATTGGAAGTGGAGCAGCCAGGTCTTGAACTGGCGCCCATGTGGGATGCTGGCACTGCAGGTGGCAGTTTTACCTGCTATGCCACAGCATAAATATATAAATATATATATATTTATATATATATATTTATTTTTTATTTAATTAATTAATTTATTTTTTGACAGGCAGAGTGGACAGTGAGAGAGGGACAGAGAGAAAGGTCTTCCTTTGCCGTTAGTTCACCCTCCAATGGCCGCCGCGCTGCAGCCGGTGCACCGCACTGATCCGAAGGCAGGAGCCAGGTGCTTCTCCTGGTCTCCCATGGGCTGCAGGGCCCAAGGACTTGGACCATCCTCCACTGCACTCCCTGGCCATAACAGAGAGCTGGCCTGGAAGAGGGGCAACCAGGACAGAATCCGGCACGACCCGGACTAGAACCCGGTGTGCCGGCGCCGCAAGGTGGAGGATTAGCCTATTGAGCCACGGCACCAGCCTTTTTATTTATTTTTTTGATAGGCAGAGTTAGACAGTGAGAGAGAGAGAGACAGACAGAAAGGGCTTCCTTCTGTTGGTTCACCCCCCAAATGGCTGCTGCAGCTGGTGCACTGCGCCCATCCGAAGCCAGGAGCCAGGTGCTTCCTCCTGGTCTCCCACGTGGGTGCAGGGCCCAAGCACTTGGGCCATCCTCCACTGCACTCCTGGGCCACAGCAGAGAGCTGGACTGGAAGAGGAGAAACCAGGACAGAATCCAGCACCCCAACCGGGACTAGAACCCTGGGTACCGGTGCTGCAGGCGGAGGAGGATTAGCCAAGTGAGCCGTGGCGCCAGCAAATATATATATATATATATATATATATTTTGAAAATAACTAAAAATGATGTGCTTCTGTCCCAGGATTGTTAGGAAATTGTTAAGATGGTTTGAAAGGCTTTTGCACTGGGAGGAAGATTGAGTTCTCTTTGTGTCCAGCATTTTAGAGAAGCTACAGGCTTTAGGAAGGCTGTCGGTGCTGTGATTTCCCTGTATGTTTGTCTTGTTTTGTGATATGTTCTCTTTATTCCTTATTGTGAATTAGCCATTCCAGTGTGTCCCCTAATTGAAGACTGCACATAGTCCAGTGCATGTAACTGGGGCGAATCTCTTAGTACTGTGTGTAGCCTATTATGCTCTTAGGCCTTGGTGTACTTAATTTAAAGTGAGTTATTAGGATGGTGTCAGCATCGGAGGCATCTGATAATAGTGCCTGGTATAAAATAGGCCCTCAGTAAACATTACCTCTACTACACTTGTTGAATAGTTCTTGCAACTTTTATATAGAATGCTGATGGGTTCAGCTGTAGTACCTGGAAAGTTGTGGACTTCACTTCTAAACTGTAGTCACTTTTTGCTTGTGCTATTATTAACCATTGCTTCAGTTCAAATGAGAGAGCACAGATGTTACATTAGAGTTTAATATGTGGACCGTTTTTATTTAATGTTACTAATAAACATCTTTGATGCCATCTACTTAGATAAAATTAATTGAAGACTAAATATGTTACTTAGATGAACTCTTGTTTCAGCAAAGCTACAACGCTTGAGAAGACGTACGGGCCTGCGTGGATTGCCTATGGACATTCATTTGCTGTTGAGAGTGAACATGACCAGGCGATGGCTGCCTACTTCACAGCAGCACAGCTCATGAAAGGGTATGGTTGAGCAGACTGGCTCAGTGCTTTGGAGGGGTTTCCGTGTTAGCAAAATGAAATGGAATTTTTATTATTACTATTACTTCCACTTGGTTACTGAACTAAACAAAAGCATTGTAGTCACCTCTTACCAGTAGCTCGTGACTGTACAGTAGCTGTGGAGACGAAGAGGGAAAGCAGCTGGTGTAGTGAATCTGCCTAGCATTTTATCTCGTTGCAGCAAGGAAGTGAGAGATGAGGCCAAGAGAAGAGATGAGTGAAGAAGCTCCTCTTTACATTCTCCGTCAGAGGAGAGTCGTCAGCAGTCACTGTGTCTTCTTTAATAGATGGGGCTTAGTGGTAGTGCAGGATTGTATTTGCCCATATTCTAGATTTAAGTCAATATTATAAATGCAGTACTGATGGTGATGTATGTTACTTTTGGGGGTTTAGCTGTCATTCTCATTCATTCTTTTTGGATCTGCCATTGGTTACATCTTGCAGAGTTCTTTTGTGTGGACCACTTGCGCTGACTGAGGGTTACCCCTGTATGGAGAGGTAGTGGTGTGCAGGTCCAGAGGGCTGATTTGGCATCAGGCTGCCTGGACTCACTTCCTGATTCTTCGACGCAGCAACATGTGATCTTGGGCAAATTGCTTACCCTCTTGGAAAATAGGAATAACAAAACAATGTATTATTGTGGAGTAATTGAGATAATACTGGTGAAAGACTTTAAGCAATATCTTTTTTTTTTTTTAATTTGACAGGTAGAGTTATAGACAGAGAGAGAAAGGTCTCCCTTCTGTTGGTTCACTCCCCAAATGGCTGCAGCGGCTGGCACTATGCCGATTTGATGCCAGGAGCCAGGTGCTTCCTCCTGGTCTCCCATGCAGGTGCAGGAGCCCAAGCACTTGAGCCATCCTCCACTGCCCTCCCGGGCCACAGCAAAGAGCTGGACTGGAAGAGGAGCAACTGGGATTAGAACCTGGTGCCCATATGGGATGCTGGCACCGCGGGTGGAGGATTAACCAAGTGAGCCATGGCGCCGGTCCTTGAGCACTATCTTTTTTTTTTTTTGACAGGCAGAGTTAGACAGTGAGAGAGACAGAGAGAAAGGTCTTCCTTTTCCGTTGGTTCACCCCCATAATAGCTGCTAAGGCTGGCATGCTGCGCTGATCCAAAGCCAGGAGCCAGGTGCCTCCTCCTGGTCTCCCATGTGGGTGCAGGGGCCCAAGCATTTGGGCCATCCTCCACTGCCTTCCCGGGCCACAGCAGAGAGCTGGACTGGAAGAGGAGCAACTGGGACTAGAACCTGGCGCCCATATGGGATGCGTGCGCAGTGGGCGGATGATTAACCAAGTGAGCCACCGCGCTGGCCCCTTGAGCAATATCCTACACATAGAGAGTACTCAGTCAGAGTTAGCTGCCTGTGCTTGTAGTGTTCAGTGCTAGGATCATGTGTTTATGTTGGCTTTCTTGATGTTAGATTTGATTTACCTTTTCAGACCATCAGACCTTTTGACAGTAAGTTCTGCATCAAATAACCTAGATTTTAAGTATAAGAGAGTTGAGTTTGGTAAGCATGATTTCTTTTTCTTTTTTTTTTTAATAAAGATTTATTTATTAATTTGAAAGTCAGAGTTACACAGAGAGAAAAGGAGAGGCAGAGAGAGATAGGTCTTCCATCCGCTGGTTCACTCCCTAAATGACTGCAATAGCTGGAGCTGTGCTGATCCGAAGCCAGGAGTCAGGAGTTTTTCCTGGGTCTCCCACTTGGTTGCAGGGGCCCAAGGACTTGGGCCACCTTCTACTGCTTTCCCAGGCCTTACCAGAGAGCTGGATTAGAAGTGGAGCAGCTGGGACTCGAACCAGCGCCTATAAGGGACACCAGCACTGCAGCTGGAGGCTTTACCTGCTATGCCACAGATTCAGCCCCAAGCATGATTTCATGTTCTCACTAGTCACCCATGAAAGCACCGTGAGGGATTCAGCTCTCTGATCATTGGCTTGAGCTGCCCTGGCCAACACCACAGCAGCAATTTTCCCCATTCTCTGGAGGCTGGGACTCCGAGATGAAGACGCTGGCCTGTCGGGTTCCTGGTGAGGGCTCTTTTCTGACTTGCAGATAGTAGCTTTCTTGCTAATGTTAGTGTTGTTGAGACTTTATTTCCTTGTTGGTCATCTGTCTAGTAACTCTAACCACTTTTGGAAGTGAGCTATGAAATCTCCAACTCATAATTATTGATTATTATTATTGTTGTTTATAAAAATTGCACTTGTTTATTTGAAAGGCAGAGTTACAGAGAGAGCAAGATGGTCCATCTGCTGTTTTACCCTTAAATGGCTGCAGTGGCCAGAGTTGGATCAGTCTGAAGCCAGGAGCTTTTTCTGGGTATCCCACATGGGTGCAAGGGCCCAAACACTTGGGCCATCTTGTGCTGCTTTCCCAGGTGCATTAGCAGGGAGCTGGATCAGAAGTGGAGTAGCCATGATGAGAACCAGCGCCCATATGGGATGCCACTACCAAATGCGGCGGCTTTACCCACTACATCCCAGTGCTGGCCCCTCCAACTCTTATTATTAAATTGTGATTTCTCCCTAAAATTCTCACAGTTTTTTTCTTACATGTTCTGATTCTCTGCTGTTCGGTACATATATGTTTATAATTGTAACTTCTTGATGGATTGAGCCTTTTTTTAATATTGTAATTGTGGGGAGCAACTCGGACTAGACTAAGTTACTGGAATTAAGACTTATTCTATGCATCTGCTCTCCCACAATATGGCGCTGGGAGAGGAGAAAACAGCTTCTACACAGCTGCCTCCAGTTCAGCCAATAAACTGTAGGACTTGCTCCTGATTGGAGAGCAGCGTGCTCGGCGTGTGGGCAGCCGAGTTAGGATTGGCGGAGGAGGACTATAAAGGAGGAGAGAGCCGGCATGCACCAGGAACATCTAAGGGGAACATCTAAGGGGAACACCTGTGCAGCCCCCGAGAGAGCCGGCCGGCGGTGTGCCGCTCCCCTGCGGAAGTGGGGAAAGTGGCCAGGGGGAACCGCCCTTCCACGGAGGTGGAAGGGACAGTAGCCAACCCGGGAAGAACCAGCAGCAAACCCGGGGAGGGCCGAGCAGACGAAAGAACAGCGCAGGGTCCTGTGTCGTTCCTCCACGAAGAGGGGGAGCGACAGTAATGTCCTTCATTGTATCTAGTAATAATTTTTGTCCCGAAGTCTATTTTATCTCACATCGGTGTAGTTGTACCAGCTCTCCTTTGGTGCTGTTTGTATGGTGTTATTTTTTTCCATCCTTATAGTTTTTTTAAAAGATTTCTTTCTTTATTGGAAAGAGAGAGAGAGAGAGAGCGGTCTTCTATCTATTGGTTCACTCCTCAGATGGCCAGAACGGTCAGCTATTAGACCAGGCCAGTGCCAGGAACTTCAGTGGCTCCCTGACAGGAGTGGCAGGAGCCCAAACACTTGGACCATCTTCTGCTTTTTCCAGGGCATTAGCAGGAAGCTGGATTGGAGGTAGAGCAGTCAGGACATGAATTGGTGCACATTTGGAATGTTGGTATCATAGGTGGTGGCTTAACCTACTATACCACAATGCTGGCCCCCGTCTTTATAATTTTAACTTCTTTGTGTCTTTGAATCTAAAGATGTCTCTTGGAGACTATATATAGTTAAATCATGTTTCTTTATCCATTCTGCCAATCTCTGCCATTTGATTGGAGTCTTTATTTCTTCATGTTTAATATACAGTCATAGGATGCATGTCTGCCATTTTGTTCTGTTTTCTATGTATCTTTTTGTGCCTCTGTTTCTGATTCCTACTTTTTTTGTGTTAAATATCTTATAATGTACCATTTTAATTGTTTTTCCTTATGCTACATATTTTCATTTTCTGAGTTCCTTTTTTTTTTAGATTTATTTATATATTTTGAAAGCTTAGAGAGAGCGAGAGAGATCTTCCATCTGCTTGTTCACTCCCCAGATGGTCATAACAGCCAGTGCTGGGCCAGGCTGAAGCCTGGAGCCAGGAGCTTCTTCCTGGTCTCCTGCGTGGGTGGTAGGGGCCCAAGTAGTTGGACCATCATTTACTGCTGGAAAGGCCATTAACAGGGAGCTGGATTTTAATTGGAGCAGCTGGGACTCAAACTGGTGCCCATATTAGGGGATGCCTGTGTCAAAGACAGTGGCTTTACATGCTGTGCCACAGTGTTGGCCCCTTTTGAGTTACTTTCTTAGTGGTTATCCTGGGGATTATAATTAACTTCATAAAATAATCTAGTTTGGATTAATACCAACTTATTTCCTTTCTTTCCCTTAATTTCAATAGTTATCCAAACCTTACTAAAATTTTTTTTTTTTTTTTTGGACAGGCAGAGTGGACAGTGAGAGAGAGACAGAGAGAAAGGTCTTCCTTTACCGTTGGTTCACCCTCCAATGGCTGCCGCGGCCAGTGCACCGCGCTGATCCGATGGCAGGAGCCAGGTACTTCTCCTGGTCTCCCATGGGGTGCAGGGCCCAAGCACTTGGGCCATCCTCCACTGCACTCCCTGGCCACAGCAGAGAGCTGGCCTGGAAGAGGGGCAACCGGGACAGAATCCGGCGCCCCGACCGGGACTAGAACCCGGTGTGCCGGCGCCGCAAGGCGGAGGATTAGCCTAGTGAGCCGCAGCGCCGGCTCCAAACCTTACTAAAAATTTAGCTGTTTTCTCCCACCTCTTTGCTATTGTCATATGAGTTAATCTCTTATATTATAAACCCATCAACACAGATTTGTAATTACTTCTTTCAGTTGTGTTTTAAATCAGACACAAGAAAAGAGTTGTAAGCAAAAATAGATTTATACTGTATTCTCCTATTTACTGGTAACTTTTACTAGATTGTTTTTTCTCTTCACATAGATTCAAGTTATTCACTTGTATCTTTTCATTTTAGCTTAAAGGACTCCCTTCAGTATATCTTGTTGGGGAAGTCTGTTGGTGATGGATTCTCTCAGTTACATGGTTTTGTGACTATCACTGATTTCTCTCTATCTTCAAATCTGCACTTCAGTTCTTTCAATGAATTTTTATTTTCCGTTATTGTGCTTTTCAACATCTGAATTGCTGTTGGGTTCTTTTTTTATAATTTCTCTTTATTGCTGTTCCCTGATTGGCAAGGAGATTGTTCTCATACTTTATTTTTGTATTCATAATTTCCTCTAGTTCACTGAATATTTAAGTATTAAGTATTTGGTATGTCCAACATCTGGCCTCTAGGACAGTTTCTGATGGATGTTTCTTCCTCCCTTGTTTGCATGTAGTAACATAGTGTGGCGGTTTTGGAGATCAGATTTCCCCATCCCACCCCAAGACTTCTCATTGTGCTGCTTGTTTAGGTTCTTCCCAGAGTGAAATCTGTAGTTTGTACCCTCTGTTCTGAGGCCAGTGAAGCCACTGTCACTTGGTTGTTTTGTTGTGTATCTTGAACCATAGAGCTTCCATTCTTGGCTGAAGGACGCTGCCTGTGTTGGGGCACACCTTCAGCACTCTGAGATGGACAACTTGGCCTTAGCCCTCACTTCCTTCTTGCACAGATCCTCAAGGTCAGGCAGGGATGAGAGATGGAGGCTTTCTCCATTCTCTCCTGTGCACATGTGTAGCTGTCTGTATCCTCTGGAGTGTCTTCCAGGTGCCTGTGGACATCTTATTCCCCAGATTCCCTTAAAGGTACTTGTCCAAATCTTAAATAACTGCTGCTGATTGTTTTCAGCAAGTGGCCCCAGGATGGAGCTTTCATCATCAGGTTCACTCAGAGTCAAATAAAAGCAAGCTGGGAATGGGCCTTTTGTGAAGGAGCTGCCAGGTCAGAGAATGACAGTTTCCTGTGGCATGCGAGGGGCGGCTCCAGTGGTTCATAACTTCTGTGTTTGTGAGGCTGCTGGCAGTCAAGGCTAGTGTGAGGCCGGTGTTGGGGAGATGGGAACAGGACAAGGAAAGCTCAATAAAGGCTACTGTATTTACCAGAATCCATATTTTCCTCAATGTATGCCCTTGGCCAGCTTCTGAGTTTCTGAAGAAGTAGAATTGGCAGTTTCTGCCACTTTTTTTTTTTTTTTAAAGATTTGTTTTATTTACTTGAAAGGCAGAGTGACAGAGAGAAAGATTCTCCATCCACTGGTTCATTCCCCAAATGGCCATCACAGCTGGGGCTGGACCAGGCAAAACCAGAAGCCAGGAATTCCACTGGGGTCTCACATGTGAGTGGCAGCGGTCCAAGTACTTGGACCATCTGCTGCCTTCCCAGATGTATTAGCAGGGAGCTAGATCGCAAGTGGAGCAGCCAGAACTTGAACCAGCTTTCAGATAGTGGGTGCTGGTGTTGGGGCCGTGACTTTAACCCACTGTGTCACAACACTGGTCTAGGGCCAGTGCTGTGGCATAGCAGGTAAAGCCGCCGCCTGCAGCACTGGCATCCCATTTGGGCGCCGGTTGGAGTCCCAGCTGCTCCACTTCCCATCCAGTTCTCTGCTATGGCCTTGGAAGGCAGTGGAGGATGGCCTAAGTCCTTGGGCCCTTGCACTGCGTGGGAGACCCAGAGGAAGCTCCTGGCTCCTGGCTCCTGGCTCCTGGCTCCCGGCTTCGGATCGGTGCAGCTCCCGCTGTTGTGACCATTTGGGAGTAAACTAGCAGATGGAAGACCTCTCTCTTTCTGCCTCTCCCTTTCTCTGTGTAACTCTGACTTTCAAATAAATAAGTAAGTAAACAAATATTTAAAACAAGACAACACACTGGTTTCATTGCCACTATTCTTCTTGCTTTTGTGGATGTAGATTTTTGACCATTTGAAAATAACTACCTGCAGGTAAATCTAAAGGACTCTTCCTGACCTTTCTGTAGCTAAGCTTAATGTGAGTCTTGACTCAGTTTATAACCAAAGCACATATAAACCAGTCAGTATCTTGGGTGTTTTGGGTCATCTTTGAAGAAAGGTCCTCATACTGTGTTGCTTTAATACAGTCACTGATCTGGTAGTGTGAACAGATGAAAATTGAATTAATAAATAGTACTGACCCTGTGTCTAGAATCTCTCAGATGGGAAAATAGCATTCGTTCATACACCGGTGTCGTTCAGAGTAGAGCTGTTCCTGATGGAATTCACAGTGAGCAAAGCCGTTTAAGGACTTCATCAAGGGAAGCAGAACTGAACAGCGTATCGAAGGATGCTAAGTGTTCCTGAGTAGATCCGGGGAGCCCCGGGGGAGTGGCCCTGCAGGCTGCTCCTCTGCTTTAGAGACTATTTTCTACTTCAGAAAAAAAAAAGCTAATAAGCTCTCTGCTCTGGCCAGGGAGTGCAGTGGAGGATGGCCCAGGTGCTTGGGCCCTGCACCCCATGGGAGACCAGGAAAAGCACCTGGCTCCTGGCTCCTGCCATCGGATCAGCGCGGTGCGCCGGCCGCAGCGCGCCGGCCGCAGCGGCCATTGGAGGGTGAACCAACGGCAAAGGAAGACCTTTCTCTCTGTCTCTCTCTCTCACTGTCCATTCTGCCTGTCAAAAAAAAAAAAAAAAAAAAAAAAGGCTAATAGTTTGCTGATCAAATCCAGGAGGTTAGTCTAAAAGCTCTATAGATTCGTTAGCTCATGCATTAAATGCCAGTACATTTTAGAAGGAAAGTAAATCTTGTTTTTTAAAGATTTATTTATTTATTTGAAAGTCAGATAACACAGAGAGAAAGAGAGGCAGAGAGAGAGAGGGGTGTTCCATCTGCTGGTTCGTTCCCCAATTGGCCACAACGGCCGGAGCTGCACTGATCCAAAACCAGGAGCCAGGAGCTTCTTCCGGGTCTCCCACATGGGTGCAGGGGCCCAAGGATTTGGGCCATCTTCCACTGCTTTCCCAGGCTATAGCAGAGAGCTGAATTGGAAGTGGAGAAGCTGGGACTCTGAACCGGTGCCTGTATGGAATGCTGGCACTGCAGGTGGTGGCTTTATCCGCTATGCCACAGTTTTGGCCCCTGGAAGAAAAGTAAATCTGTATTTTGGGTTAATGTTTAAAATATTTTACAGATAGGATTTAAGGTTGACAAGTTAATTTCTGCTGAATTACATAGTTTTTGGTGTTGAATGTGTGACATTTTCCACTACTTTTAGGTGTCATTTGCCAATGCTGTATATTGGACTAGAATATGGTTTGACAAATAACTCAAAACTGGCTGAAAGGTTCTTTGGCCAAGCTCTGAGCATCGCACCAGAAGACCCCTTTGTTATGCACGAGGTTGGAGTGGTTGCGTTTCAGAATGGAGAGTAAGTTCTTTACCCTTCTGCTTGTTCTGTTGTCCTAAAGCATCAGGCTCAGAGCTCGACTGACCAGAGCAACTCTACAGCAGGTGTTTATTTTTAAATGCACGAATATAGAAGAGGGAGCTAGACACTTTACCAAAGAAGATTAAAACTGTTTTCTTGGATTTCCTTAAAAATACTCCATCTGGGCTGGGGTTTCCCTGTGACGTGGGTGCTGCAGGTTCCATGGCCTGACTCAGTGGTTAGAGTCACTGCTACCCCAGTGCCTGGAAGAGCTGTCTGTCCACTGGGAGTTGGAGACTCACTTGAGAGTCCCAGAGTGTTTTCTGTTTGGTCACCTGGAAATCAAGAGTTCCCAGGTCAATGTGAACCTCGATATTTACAGAATAAGTGAATTTCATACTCTGAGAAAAATACCCTTTGTGTTAGATTATGCATTATTCAGTATTGTTTGTGAAGTTGGGTTTTCTAGGTACTTTGCAGCCTTTATGATATCATATAGCCAGTACTGTGTGTGCACTGACCCTTAATTTATAATCCACACAACTGGGACCTGAAGTGTTTGTACAATGGATGTGGACATTCTCTGTTCACTCAGAATGTAAAAAGATGCGATTTTTAATGCTCTGTTCAGTGCCACACTTTTCACAATCTTGTGATTTTTATGGGCTACCTCGCTGTTTAAAATAACCACTGAGCCAAGTGCTGCCTGCTGTTTGGTGTTCTCAAGCACAAGGAGTTGTGATATGCCTAATGTGTGTTAGGTAAGCCTCATTCAAGCATGCGTGATTGTGCTATTGGCTGTGAATTCAGTATTAATGAATCAGTAGGTATCTTAAATCAAGAATCTGTAAACGGAAACAAATAAAACAGGGTTGCTCCTTAATCACTTTATGAAAATGTTATAACCAGGACTGTGCAGGAACCTAAATGTGTTTCCCCTGGGAGCAGTGGTTCTGCATTGCTAGGTCAGCATTCACAGTGACCTCATAGACATAAATACCATAGATGTCTCCTATGTCTGGAATTCATGTTATGTTAATTCAAAGTTAATCATTTACATGTCTTTAATTTTAGTAATTCTCAACAGTTTTACCCCATTTCATTTTAGTACTACTAGAGATACTTGGATTTTTCTGAACTGTTAATACTTGCTAATTTTGACTAACTGGCAACCTTTTTTCCCCTCTATTTTAGATGGAAAACAGCAGAAAAATGGTTTCTTGATGCTTTGGAAAAAATTAAAGCAATTGGGAATGAGGTATCTATCTGGTATTTGCGAGTGCACACCATGAGTGTGCACGCTGTTCAATCTGTAAACTAGGTCAGAACCCAGCAGTTGCGTGAGTTGGCAGGTGTTATGCCGCAGAGGGGGGAGATGAGTGAATTTCTACTCAGAGGAAGGTCAGTGCTTGTTTTAAGGGTGCTCAGGCTTTGACACATGGGAGCGTCTGAATATATAAGGGGCTTCAAAAAGATTGTGGAAAATGGAATTAAAAGGTGCTTGTTTTGATGCAAAAAATTTTGAAATTCATGTGTAGTGTTTTTTTTTTTTTTTTTTTTTTTTAAAGATTTATTTATTTGAGAGGTAGAGTTACACAGACAGAGGGAGAGACAGAAAGGTTTTCCATCCACTGGTTCACTCCCAGAATGGCTGCAATGGCCCAGAGCTGGGCCATCCAAAGCCAGGAGCTTCTTCTAGGTCTCTCATGTGGCTGCAGGGGCCCACACACTTGGGCCACTTTTTGCTGCTTTCCCAGGCCATAGCTGAGATAGATCAGAAGTGGAGCAACCAGGATACAAACTGGCACCCATATGGGGTGCTAGCGCCACAGGCAGAGGCTTAGCCTACTATGCATTGGCGCTGGCCACCACGCGAAGTGTTTCTGTAACATACAACATGCATTTTCCGTGAGCTTTTTGAAGACCCTTCGTAGTAGGTGATTTTGAAATTGGATGGCACTGTGGTGTCTAACGTGAGATTTCTGTAGAACCTCAGAGAGCCTTGGCTGTGCCTGAGGGTCGATTCAGTGTGATTGCAGGTACTCCCTCTGCAGCCGTGGGATTAGGGCAGGTGTTGTTGAGACTCGCACTCATGCACTGAGAGTATATTGTGCTGACAGTGTAGGTAGGCCTTTTAATGTTTGAAGCATTTGACTAGGTTCTGTCTCATAAAAAAATGTGCCCCGTGAATTAGCGTTCCAACTAGCAGAGCTGTAGATCCACTGGTATTATATTTAGGTAGTAACGATTTTAGAGAGCATGAATCCCTGTAGGTAAGTGTTTGCTGCTCTTCTCAGTTCCATTATTCTCTCTTGTCTCTGTCCTGTTTGTACACCTGTCCCCTGCACAACTCTGTGGGTTCCTTACAAGTGGCAATTCCCTGTCCCCATAGCTGCATTTATTTAGGAAATTATTTCTGTATGTTCACACAAGAATGTATAGGAAGCAGGTGTTTCTTCAGCTGATCTTGGCTAGCTCTGGATAACCCCATGGGGCTGCCACTCACTTGCTGGCCAGTGGTCTAATAGCATCGGCATCACCTGGAAGCTTTGGAGAGGTGCAGAATTGCAGGTCTGTTCAATCAAAATGCCAAGTTTAGCAAGTGCCCCAGGTGATGCTTGTGCGCAGGAAATCTGAAAGCTGTGTTGTTAAACCACACATAGATTTGGAGACTTTGACATCTTACAGAAGTTTAAAGTAATGGTTGATGAAGTGGTTGGTGGAGATAATGTTTTTGACTATATTTGTAAAGTACAGCACGCATCAGAGTAGCTGAAGAAGACAGTTCTGCCTGAGGGTCCTTTTTTTTCTAAAAGATTAATTTATTTATTTGAAAGTCAGAGTTATACACAGAGGGAGAGGCAGGGAGGGGAGCGGGTCTTCCATCTACTGGTTCACTCCCCAATTGGCTGCAGCTGCCAGAGCTGAGCTGATCCAAAGCCAGAAGCCAGGAGCTTGCTCCCAGTCTTCCACACAGGGGCAGGGGCCCAAGACTTGCAACATCTTCTGCTCTCTCGAACCATAGCAGAGAGCTGGATCGGAAGTGAAGCAGCCAGGTCTCAAACTGACACCCATTATGGAATGCCGGCACTGCAGGTGGCAGCTTTACCTGCTATATGCCATGGTGCCAGCCCTGTCCGAGGATCTTTAAGGATTTGTTTCTCATCTCCACAGGCTGCTGCTCTCCCAGGGCTAGCATCAGTATTAGAAGGTTAGCTGAGTCTGCTCATTCATTTGGTAGATGCATAGTTAATAGGTGTCAGCCATGCCCAGAGTGTGGGCTGTGGGTTGGCTGCAGTTGGGAACCCATGTGATACTTCCTGCCCTTGGGCCCATTTGGAAATTCAGGTGAGTAATAGGCAGTCACAACACAGTGTGACTGAGTAAAGAGAGGTGCCCACAGAGAAGTCCTTTTACCCAGGCATGAGGGCAGTCAGGAAGCCTTTACCATCCACCTCAGTCCTGAAGGCCAGGCAGAATTGAGGGAAAAAGTTATTTCAAGTATAGGAGCTGGCGTGTGCAAAGAGTAGAGTTAGTGTAGTATGGCCTGAATTTTGAGTTTACAGAGTGCCAAATGCCAAAAAAAAAGGGTCAGGAAGGTAAGTGTGGGTCATTAAGGGCTGTGAAATGATGTTAAAGGTTTGCACCTTAACTCTAAGGAGAGTGGGGAACAGAACAGGCTTAAGAAGGGCAGTGTAGTCAGACTTGTATGACAGGTCCAGATAAAACGCTTGTTAATGGGGAAGGTGACAGGTAGGTGTCAGTGCAGTAGGTAAGACACCTCTTGGGACATCCACATCCCAGACCCAAGAGTCTAGATTTGAGTCCTGGTTCCACTTCCCATCCATCCTCCTACTGATGTGCACCCTGGGAGACAGGGTGATGGCTAAAGTATGTGGGTCACTGCTGCGAATATGAGAGACCTGGCTTTAGTTCTGGACACCTGCATTGGCCTGGCCCAACCCTGGCCATTGTGGGCATTTTGATAGGAGCTCTTTGTGTGTCTGTCTTATCTGTCTCTCCTTTTCAAATAGCAACAAACAAATAAATAAGAATTAATGGGGAAAGTGAGGGTCAAGTGGGTTTGGAGTTTGCCCAGCAGGTGGAATGAAGAAGTCCTGTTGTGGACGGAAAGGTCAGCGGTGGCCTGGTGGTCACTGACTGGCTGCTGGGGTAAGGTCAGAGAGCAGGGAGCAGGAGAGACAGGTTGCTGGGGCACACTGAATCTAAAGTGATTGTCGCCTCTCTGGGTAACGCTGTTGTGTCAGCAGATGGCTTTCAGCCACTATAGACTGCAGGTGCATGATGGGACCTTGCTCAGCATGGATGTGTTCTTTAACAAAATCGTGGATTTCTCAGGAAGTCTCCTTTGGGAAGAAAGAAAGATGACACAACAGCAAATACTCTTGCTTGTTGCTGTGGTTGAGGCACAGCCCAGGAGACAACCAGCTTGCGGAGAGGGGAGGTGACTAGTACCAATGTCCGTAACACATGGCTTGATGTGTTTTAGGTGACTGTTGACAAATGGGAACCTTTGTTGAACAACTTGGGACATGTCTGCAGAAAACTTAAGTAAGTGAAGTAGACCATTTTCAGAAATAGACATAGTGACCAGAAAGAAGTTCACTTAATTTTGAGTAGCCTTTTCACTGTCTGTTTCATGAGACCTCCAGCTGCCTTGTACTTGGCTGCTCAGATATAGCAAGCACCAAAAGCAATGTTTTCATTATTTACCTCTTGATATAATTTTATTTTAGGGATATATTGAGGATTATAGTAACTATTTGTATATTGAATTTTTAGTGTTGAAAATTGAGAAGAATTAGGACAGTAGATCTAATTAAAACTGTTTATGTTTTTTTCCACTGGAGATGTTGAGTTGGGTTACACAAATGAAAGTGGTAGAAAGTGGGTTCTTTGGTTAAGCAAGTCGGAGAAGCTCTAATGAGTTCTTTCATTACTGAAAGAGCTGTGATATTTCTTGCACTTTAATTAAACATTAAACTTCTTTTTCACAAAAAAATTTGTAGGGCAAGTATTTCAAAGAACCTTGGGGAACATGTTCTAAGTAAATATTAGACCTAAGTTAAAATTCTTTGATGACTTTTAGCCACCCTGGTGTGGGGATTTTCCATCACATTGAAAGTGAGGGTGTAGTAAGCCACAGGCTCGAAATCGGGGATTTGGTTCTGATTGCAGCATCACCAGACATCCAAAGGATGCCGAGGTCCACCCAGGTGTCCCTCAGCCACTGAGGGAGCATGCCAAGAAAGTGCATAGTGAGGGGTGCTGAGATACATGGACGTGGGTGTGAGCCAGTGGCCAGTGCAGTCACTCATATAAGAGAGTATGTCTTCTGGGTTTACATAGGTGAGTGCTCAGTCATGGGGACGCAGTCCTTTTGCTGTACAAGTAAATGTTCCCTGTCTTTGCCCTCCTTGTCTTCTCTTGACAGGAAGTACGCAGAGGCTCTGGATTACCACCGGCAAGCCTTGGTGCTGATTCCTCAGAATGCGTCCACCTATTCTGCCATTGGATACATCCACAGTTTGATGGGCAACTTTGAAAATGCTGTGGACTATTTCCACACTGTATGTCTTGTTTGTGCTTAACTGTACTTCTAGTTAATATTGGTCACTTCTTTCTTTGAAAAGATCTTTTGTATTTTAAAATTTTTTCAGATAGCCTTGCATTTTATTCTTTTCTCCATAGAAGCAGCATGTGTGTGTTGTCCAGTATGCATCAGATTAGCCACAAGCATGAGGCTCTTGCTCCGTGTGCAGTGATGCACACACCAGTCAGTGGATCCGTTCTCTGGTGTAGGCAGGGAGAGAAATCCCTGGTCACAGTGAGAGCCCTGAAAACTCCCAGGCTTCCTGGATGATCCCTAAATTAATTCCCTTAGCTTATCTTACTAGGAGAACAAAACAGAATGGGGGTTCATCAAAAGGGAAGAATCCTTAACATGTAAACTTCATCAGACCTAAGACACCATGAATAAGCAAAGTAAACACAAAGAAAAAAAAATGCTCTCAATTAAACTTTAAAATAAATTTTTCCTGTTGCTTACCTTGTGTTCCTAGAGAAAGGACTCTTTGGACATATATAGTTACAGATTTTCATCAGGGATCACTGTGGTATATACATAAGGAAGACAATGATGTAAATGACTACATCTTGCAACCCAAGTGTCCTTGGTTCCCAGAATAGTGGCCTGGTGTAGGTGTGCCCCTCTGCAGTCCGTATCCTCTGTCCCCTCCCACCTGCTTTGCAAAGGTCTCCGAACCTCTCATCCTGCTGGTGTCAACAGAAGACTTTAGGAAACACCCACAATTTGCGTATCGTCTTGTTGGTTTTCTGGATACACAGGCAGGACGCCACCGTAAAGATAAACCAACAGTTGTGAGGCATCCCAGGTTCAGAGAAGATGTGGTCTTTGAATTGAGGAATCAATGGTATTTGGAGAAAAAGATAAGATATGAAAAAATGCAATATTTCAGAAATAATTCATGAGTAGATAGATTTGTAACTGTTTTTCAAGGATAAGTGAGAGATTTTCAGGCCAAGTAAAGTCCCAGATGTACTCCGGGATAATCAGAAATACAAGGCTTATCAGAAGTCTGGACTAAGTAAGCTTTCTGGTCTTATAGGATCTTCCAGGTACTTCTGTTGGAATGTTTTATAACTTACCTCTCTGCTGTAACTTAATCAGTACAGAAGTCTCAAGAGGGGACACTCTGGAGATGAGTTTTTTAACCTTTTACTGCAGTTAGATTTCAATCATAAGAAAATAGAATTGCCTGAGGGATTTCATGACCCCATCACCCAATATCACCAGTCATCAGCCTTGCAGCTCTCTCCCTTATGACAACCCCATATACCCATCCCCTGTTCCTTGGATTATTATTATTTTTTGGTAAGATTTATTTATTTGAAAGGCAGAGAGAAGGAGGGAGGGAGGGAGGGAGGGAGGGGTTGGTCTTCCATCCACTGGTTCACTCTGCAAATGGCTGCAATGGCAAGCGTTGGGCCAATCTAAAGCCAGTAGTGAGGAATTTCTTTCGGATCTCCTAGGTGGGTACAGGGGCCCAAGCACTTGAACCACCTTCTACTTCTTTCCTAGGCCATAAGGGTGCAAGGGCCTAAGCACATGGGCCATCTTCCACTGCTTTCCTGGGCCAGAAGCAGAGTCTTAGATCAGAAGTGGAATAGCTGGGACTCAAACCGGCATCCATATGAGGTGGCGGCTTTACCTACTACACCACAGCACTGGCCCCTTGGATTATTTTTTAAAAATTTATTATTTATTTTTTAAAGATTTATTTATTTATTTGAAAGAGTTACACAGAGAGAGGAGAGGCGGGGAGAGAGAGAGAGGTCTTCCATCCGATGGCTCACTCCCCAGCTGGCTGCAATGGCTGGAGCTGTGCTGATCCAAAGCCAGGAGCCAGAAGCTTCTTCCAGGTCTTCCATGTGGGTACAGGGACCCAAGGACGTGGGCCATCCTTTACTGCTTTCCCAGGCCACAGCAGAGAGCTGGATCGGAAGTGGAGCAGGCGGGTCTTGAACATATGGGATGCTGGCACTTCGGGCCAGGACGTTAACCCACTGTGCCACAGCGCCGACTTCTTAAATTATTTATTTATTTTAATTTTATTTGAATAAAATTTATTTAATTTTATATTAATTTTATTTTTATTTTAATTATTTAATTATTATTTAACTGTCTATTTTAATTTTATATTAATTTATTTAATTTTATTTGAGAGACAAACACGAGCAATCAGCCTGCTGGTTTACTCCCTCAATGCCCACACAGCCAGGGCTGGGCCAGGCCAAAGCTGGGATCCAGGAACTCAGTCCAAGTCTTCCACATAGGTGATGGGACCCAAGTATGAGGCATCACCTGCTGCCTCGTGGGGTTTGTATTAACAAGAAGTTAGAATCAGAAACAGAGCTGTTAACTAACCCAGGTACTCCTTTATGGATGTGGGCAAGTAGTGTTTTTAACCACTATTCCAAATGCGTACTCTCTGGGAATATTTTGAAGTCAGTAAATAGAGAAACTTTTAAACTAAAATAAAGAAGTTATCTTTTAGTAACCATACTGAATCTTTTTGGCAGGCCCTCGGTCTTAGGCGAGATGACACATTTTCTGTTACAATGCTTGGTCATTGCATTGAGATGTACATTGGTGACTCCGAAGCTTATATCGGTAAGATCCTGATCATTCTTACTGGCATTGTATTCCATTTCTAGGTGGTTGTGTATCTCTGTTTAGGTTTCTCAGAGTCTCATTTAAGAGTCTTAAGTTTATCTTGAACTATTTTAGATACATTAATATAATAAAAGACTACTTTGTTGGAATAATGATGTAGGAATTAGTGACTGATGAAGGAGTACTTGCGATGTGCCAGAATACTGTCACAATATATGTAAAGCACTGTGTTATAGTAGTGTCAATCAGATTGCATAATGGAAAAAGAGATCTTAGAGACACGCAGAGGCAGCTACTCTGACCTCACTGTTTCATGGTGAGGGACAGTAGAATATTTATTTTTAAAATTTTTTATTTATTATTTGAAAGGCAGAGTTATAGAGAGGCAGAGGCAGAGAAGACAGAGTAAAAGGTTTTCCATCTGCTGGTTCACTCCCCAAATGGCTGCAGCAGCTGGAGCTGGGCCGATCTGGAGCCAGGAGCCTCCTCCAGGTCTCAAACACAGTTGCAGGGGCCCAAGCACTTGGGCTGTCTTCCACTGTTTTCCCAGGCCATAGCAGAGAGCTGGATCGGAAGAGGAGCAGCCGGGACTAGAACTGGCATCCATATGGGATGCCGGTGCTGTTGGCAGAGGATTAACCTACTGCGGCACAGCACTGGCCGCGGGACAATAGAACATTAATCTTCACATTTCAGTGGTGGGTTAAGATGACTTTTGATTCACACAGCAGTGATAGATCCTTCTTTGCATTATGCGTGTATGGAATAGCAAGTGACAGGTAAATGTGGGCAGATTTACCGTCTCCTGGCACTCATTTGGCTACAGTCATCACGAGGTTAGGCACTTGGAGTTTAAATCTTGACACCTGGATTTTGGGATAGCCCAAGATTTCATTAGCAGGACATAAAAACCTAAGAGGAACAACAGTTGATAAATTTGGCTTCAATAAAATTAAAAACTTTGATTTTTTAAAAAAGATTTTATTTATTTATTTGAAAGAGTTACACAGAGAGAGGAGAGTTGAAAGAGAGAGGTCTTCCATCCGATGGTTCACTCCCCAACTGACCACAACGGCCGGAGCTGTGCTGATCCAAAGCCAGGAGCTTCCTCCGAGTCTCCCACACGGGTGCAGGGGCCCAAGGAGTTGGGCCATCTTCTGTTGCTTTCCCAGGCCATAGCAGAGAGCTGGATTGGAAGTAGAGCAGCCGGGTCTCAGGCTGGCGCCCATTTGGGATGCCAGCACTTCAGGCCAAGGTGTTAACCCTCTGCACCACAGTGCCAGCCCCCCCAAAACTTTGATTTTTCAGAATCACCATTAACCCATTATGTCCCATTGCCCAACCATAGGACACCTGTGGATTTTAAATGAAGTAATAAATATACCAAGTATGGTAACTTCAAAACAAATATTTTTTGAAGTAGTCACAGAATTGAAAACTTGGGACTCAGTGGGTTAAGAGAGCAAAAGATATGCCATAGTAGGGGATAAGCGACTTACAGTATATTGACTCATCAAAGAACTCTTGTCTGGAATGCATCCTGCAAGTCAGTAAGACAGAAATAGTCAAAAGGCGTATTAAAAATAGGCATCATAATTCCAGGTAGTCATTGTGCAGCTCAGCAGGCCCTGCATCATAACTTGTCAGGGGAATGGGATTAAAACTCTAGTGAGATACTGTGTACCACCAGAAATACCACTGCGCACCCCCCAGAGTGCCTGAAAGTTTCAAATACTGACAATGTCTAGTGTTTGGTGATGATGTGGAACAACCAGCTGGAGCTGTCATGGGTTGGGGATTATTGGGGGTTAAGTTTACCATACGCACCAAAGCTAAGCCAGTTGTGTTAGTTGTCTTGCTGCCTTACGAATGCTCATCCCCGGTGACACACCAGTTCTACGGCTTTGTGTGTGAGTCCATTGCTGCTTTGTTTTCTGGTCTTGCCTAGGTTCACTCATGCAGCTCTGTTCAGTGGATGGTTGTCTGGGTTGATGATCTGAGATAGCTTTGGGGGGACCTCAGCTTGCACAGCTTGCACAGCTGGGCCTCTCTCTGGGGCTCTCATTTCACATGGAGTTCAAGCTTCAGGACCTCTTGATGGTTGGCAGTTGAACACCATCACTTCCTTCAGAACAAGTCTCATAATCAAGCTCAGAGTCAGCATGGGGAGGGGCTGTCCAAGGGCAAGGGTGCTGGGAGTTGGGTTCACTGGCAGTGTCAGGACAGTGCGGACTCAGAGCTCACACATCGTTTGGGGGTGTTGGGTAGGGTGTTGGGTTGGCCCTGTGGAACCAATGTACTGAACATCGGGGGTGCTACGTAGTGACCGGCGTCCTGAGCTGGAATGTCAGGAATCAGCCCTGCAGAAGCAGGAGCCTCTGTTGGCCAGGTTATGCCTTGCCTTACTCATGACAGCACTAGCTGGGAGCGATACCCATGTCCACCAGCACAACGCAGAGACAGGTTGTGGCTTCATACAAATGAGACATGACTGAATCATGTAGTATGAGTGAACTACAGATTTTGGCAAAAAGAGTATATACTGATTACTTCCATTTATGAGAGGATTAGTAATAAGCAAAAGTAATTGGAGGTGACAAAAAACGCGTAGTGATTATTGCTTCAAACAGGGGCATGAGGTCTGTAGCGCTGGGAGTGTTCATGTTCCTGCCTGAAGCAGTCAGCTGTGAGCTTTTTCATGCTGTCTGCTTGGGATTGCGTAGTTCAGAGAGAAAAGCACCTGAGCTCCCTCACCCTGAAGAGCCTGGGTTGAAACCTCAGCTCGGCCACCCAGGGGCCCCTGTGCCTCGGGAGCAGGGCTGAGCCTCAGTGTCCTCATATATTTGGGGAAGAGTTGTGAGGCTTAAATGCAAAAGCTAGTTAAGGGTTGGAGATATCAATGATGAAGAAATAGACATTTTGCTGCCCTCGTAGGGGTGATGGCCTTGGAGAGATGTTCAAGGTGCTTTATCATGACTGTTACTTTTAGTCTGCCTCTCACTGTCGGCTAAACACCCATTACCGAATGCTATTAATTGGAACTGTGTGAAATTGTCATTTTGTGTGCTCAGATCGGTTCAAAAATATATATTATTATTGAAGGTTTTTGAAATATGGAAAATGTATTTCCTTTCATTGTGGATTCTACCTGTATAACTTAGTGACTGTACCAACACTTACGCCTGTTCCTGTGAAGCAGCTGAGAAAAAGAGTTGCCCACAGAGGCCGGCCATGTTGAAGGGGCCTTGGCGAGGGGATAGCTTGCAGCTACTTGTGCAAGTGTTCCAACATCTCCCTTAGACATGGGAGGAAAATAAAAGAAGAAAAAGACTGGAACCTTTTTTCCTTCTGATCTGTCCTTGTGCTCTTGAAAGTACACTTTGGCTTAAAGAACAGGTACAGGATTATGTAATGATGGCAATGACATATATGATAGAATTTCTAATTGTGTTTCTTTTTAGGAGCAGACATTAAAGACAAATTAAAATGTTATGACTTTGATGTGCATACAATGAAGACACTAAAAAACATTATTTCACCTCCGTGGGATTTCAGGGAATTTGAAGTAGAAAAACAGACTGCAGAAGACACGGGGCTTGCACCACTGGACACCTCCAGGAAGACTCCAGATTCCAGACCTTCCTTGGAAACCTTTGAAATTGAGATGAATGAGAGTGACATGATGTTAGAAACATCCATGTCAGACCACAGCGCATGACTCCAGCAGTGGTCCTGGACCCGTTGTCCTAGTGTGTAGGTCAGTATTTCCTTCCACCCTTGCCGCGTATTAAGTGTTTCCCATTTCCTAACACGAATCCAAACTGCATCTCTATATTCAGGGACAGAGACCCGCCCAGGAGACTTGGAGAGCACGCCTTTGCAACAGATGTTTTCTGATTCTCTGAACCTACAAAATAGTTATACGTAGTGGAATAAAGAAGGTAAACCATCTGTTATGTCTTTTTCTTTTTCAATAAACTTTTGTACTGATTTTAGATTTATAGACAAGTTGTAAAGATAGTACAAGGAACTTGTGTGTGTCTCCCCTCAGTCTCTACGTTATTATCACCTTAGATTGCGACATGTTTTTGCATCAAAATAAACTTATCTTTTAATTCTGTTTTCCACAAGCTTTTTGAAGTATGCTTGTATTTATTTTGTGACTTACATTATTTCCACTTGAGCCACTGGGAGCTCTTTGAGCTTTGCTTCCTATCCCTGTGACACAACCCATCCATTGTTTTTTTTTCTTCTTCATTGTGGGAAAATTTAGGTTGCATAAACTGTGGGCTTCAGTTAATGATAATGCATCAGTTTTGGTTCAGGGGAGGTTGTTAATCACAGGATGCTGAGGAAAGAGGCAGGGGAAGGAAAGGAGTAAATGAGAACACTGTTTTCTGTCCAGTGTCCCAGTAAATCCAAACTGCTCTAAGAACCAAGTCTATTAATGAAAGATGCATGAATACACAGATACATACCATATCACTTGCTGCTTTAAAGGATGCAACTTAAGCAACATTGATGATGTTCACATGTACACCAATCACCTCTGTTTCCAAAAGTTTCCATCTGTCCAAACAGAAACAGGATCTATTAAGCAGCCCCAGTAAACATTGAATCTACTTTGTCTATAAATTTTGCCTAGTCTAGTTTTTTTATTTTTTAAGATTTATGTATTTGAAAGGCAAGTTGAGACAGATAGGGAGAGAGATCTTTTCATCCACTGGTTCATTCTTCAGATGACTGCAATAGCCAGGACTGGGCCAGGTCCAAAGCCAGGAGCCGAGAACTTGACGTGGATTTCTTTTATGGGAGGAGGGCCCTAAGCACCTGAGCAGCCATCCACTGCCTCCTTAGATGTATTCTCAGGAAATTGGGTCAGCAGCAGAGTAGTTGGGACTCAAAACTGGCACTCTGATATGGGATGCAGGTTTCATAAGCAGCACCTACTGCACCACGACACCTGCCCCTGTAGAATTTTCTACAAGTGGAAATCTTTTCTGAATGTCTTATTTATAAAAGTATCTGGGGCCGGAGTTGTGGCGTAGCAGGTAAAGCCTCCCTCTGCCTGCAATGCGAGTATCCTATATGATAGCCAGTTCAAGTCCTGGCTGTTCTGCTTCTGATCCAACTTCCTGCTAATGTGCCTGGGAAAGCAGCAGATGGCCTGAGTACTTGGGTCCCTGCACCAATGTGGGAGACTGAGAAGAAGCTCCTGGCTTGCGACCATATGGAGGAGTGAACCAACAGATGGAAGGTCCCCACTCCAACCCCTGTAAATCTGCCTTTCAAATAAAATGAGTCTTTAAAAAAAAGATGCTTTGTCCAAATGTTTCTCAGAACCTTCTGAAAATGAGGTTAGGATGAGAGCATAGCGGTCCAGAAACTCCTGAGCTGGAGTCTTGTGCTGCCCCAAGGTGAGGGAGGGCCAGAACATTTTCGCACAGACCTCCCAGGTCCTGCCCAGCAGGTGTTGTGTGCAGGGCCTGGCTCTAGTTTCCCTTGGCTTGCCTGGAGAGTTAGGTGTCCACTCAGGGCCCAGACCTTGAGAACTGCAAGAATGGACTAGAGGCCCAGGTGGTTGTGCAGCCAGGTCAGCTCTGCCAGGAGGTGTCAGTGGAATAAAAGGTGCTGGAAGGGGTCACGCCCTTGGCACTGGCTCAGGCTACCTATATAGAAAGTCTGTGGTATTGAGGCATCCTGTGGTTCTCCGTGCAACCTAGTGGCTGCTGGGGCATCCTGGGAACATCCCAGCAAGGATAGCACTAGCCTGGCATTCCTGCTCTGGCTCCCTGGAGAGCAGGAAGGCGGGGGTTCTTGCCTAGTGGAGATGAAGTAGTGTTTGTTGGTGGTTTAGATTTGCATTCACTGGGGCCAGGCAGGGTTAAGCTGCTGCCCATGACACTGGCGCCCCATTATCTGAGTACCGCTTGGAGTCCCAGCTGCTCCACTTCCTATTCAGTTCCCCACTATGTAAAAGCAGCAGCAAATGTGCTTGGGCCCCTCACACCCACATGGGAGATCCAGATGGAGTTCCAAGCTCTTCAGCCCCTAGCTCTTGAAGCTGTTTGGGGAATGAACCAGTGGGTAGAAGATCTCTCTCTTCCCTTTCTGTTACTCTGTCTTTCAAGTAAAGGAAATCTTTTAACAAAATAGATTTGCATTCATCTAATGAACAGTGAGGTGGAGCCTCTTACTGGGCATTTCTGTGTATTTTGGAAATACCTATTTACTCATTTTAAATTGGGTTTCTCTATTGTAGTTTTTTTTTTTTTTTAATAAGATTTCTGCTAGTGACCCCTTTTTAAGTATATGATTTGTGTATAGTTCCCCCTATTTCTGTGGAATGCTTTCTTTCCCCCCTGATTGGCAAGAGACAGACTCTGCTTCCCCAAATGGCTGCAGTAGCCTGAAGCTGGACCAGCCTGAATCCAGGAGCTGGAAAATATCCACATCTTATACACAGCTATCAGGGTCACCTTCTGTCTTCCAGGGTATGCATTAGCAGGAAACTGGAGTCAGGAGTAGAGCCAGGGCTCAATCCAGGCACTCTAGTGTAGGATACAGATGTTTGAGCACTGTGCCAGGTACCCTCCTGTCCCCCTTCTTTCCTTTTCTCTTTTTCTTTCCTTTTTTTTTTTTTTTTTTTTTTTTTTTTAATATTTACTGACTGAAAAGCAGGGTGACAGGCACAGGGTAAAGGGGAGAGAGAGACACACACAGCTTCCATTCGCTGGTTTACTCCCTAAATACCTACAACACTTGGTTCTGAGTCAGGTCATAGTCAGAAGCCAGGAATTCCATCCAGATCTTGCACGTGGGTGGCAGGGTCACAAGTACCTGGGCCTTCATCCACTGTCTCCCAGTCAAATATCAGGAAGCTGGGTTGTTAAGTGCAGAATAGCTGAGGCTCAAACCTGTGCTCCAGTGTGGGATATGGGAATCCCAAGCTGCAGCTTGCAATGCTGCCCCCTTTTTTTACTTGATGTGGCTAAAAGTTTATCAATGTAGGTTTTTTAGAAAAGCCAGCTCTTGATTTTCTATGTTTTTCATTTTGTTTCATTTATCTCTAATTTTATTTTCTTCCTTCTGCTAATTTTGGTTTCAGTTTGCCATTCTTTTTCTAGTTTTTTGTGATTTACTGTTAGTTTATTAAATTGTGATGCTTTCATGACAGGCTTTTTTCCCTCTGAGCGCTCTTATCCCTGCAGCCTATAAGTTTCGTGTATTGTGGTTTTATTTTAATTTTTTATCAAGGTATTTTCTGATTTCCCTTGCGATTTTTTCTATGACCCTTTGGGTATGTAATTTCCATGTAATTCAGAGTTTCCCATTTTTCCTTCTTGTGTTGATTTCTAGTTTTATTCCATTTTGATCAGAAGGAATTCTTCATGTGATTTCAGTCTTTCCAGATGAGGCATGGTTTGTGTTCAGCTTGAACGGTGTTCCTTGTCCACTTAGGGAGACTGTGTGTTCTTTTTCTGGGTTTAGCTACAGGTCTGTGACTCTTGGGTCAGATTAGTTTGTAGGAATGATGCGGTCCTCTTTTTCCTTGTTACTTGTTTCTTCCTAGTTACTCTGTTACTGAAAGTGAAATATTGAAGTCTTGGACGAGTTACTCTATTATTAACAGTGGGATGTTGAAGTCTTGACTGTTGTGTAGAACTGCTTTTCCCTTCATTTCTGTCAGTGCTTGCTTCAGATATTTTGGGGTTCTTTTGTTAGGGGTGTATATTTTTATAAATTGTTGTCTTCTTGATGGGTCAGTATCTTTATTGGCATATAATGTGTCATGTCAGTCATCATTTGTGCTGTTTTAATATTTTTGGTAAATTTTGACTTAAAACCTATCTGATATTAGTCCCCTCAGTTCTTTTTATTATGATATACATGGTTTTTTTTTTCTATCATTTTCCTTTCAACTTCTTTATGTTGTTCTATCGAAAGTCCATGTATCTAGACAGCATATGATGGGTCATATGTTTCTTATTGATTCTGCCTTTTAATTAGAGAGTTCAGGCCATTTGCATTTGAAGGAATCACTAATAAAGAAGAGCTTCTGCCATTTAGCTCTTTGTTTTCTTGTGTCTTACATGGCTTTGATTCCTTAGTTCCTCGGTTACTTTTTATTTGACTTGATTTTTTGTTATTGTACCATTTTGATTTTTTTTCTGCATATATTTTTTCTTAGTGGTTATCTTAAATTTCTAGTATTTCCAGCCTTGTTTTGGTGGCATAACCTGTGCTCCTATATACCTCCCTTGAATATGCTATTGTCTACATGTTATGTCCCTATTCTAGGTTTGTAATTACTGTTTTATGCATTTACCTTATAGATCACATAGACACAAAGAGAAGGTAAGCTGAAAGTACAGTGATATTGGCTTTCCCAGTGCTCTTTGGGGGCCTGTGAGCTACTGTCCAGCACCATTTCCTTTCAGCCACAAGGACTTCCAATTTTTTTTTAAAGATAGATTTATTTATTTGAAAGTCAGAGTTACACAGAGAAGGAGAGGCAGAGAGAGAGAGAGAGAGAGAGGGAGGGAGGTCTTCCATCTGCTGGTTCACTCCCCAGTTGGCCACAATGAGTGGAGCTTTGCCAATCTGAAGTCAGGAGCCAGGAGCTTCTTCGGGTCTCCCACATGGGTGCAGGGGCCCAAAGACTTGGACCATCTTCTGCTGCTTTCCCAGGCCATAGCAGAGAGCTGGATTGGAAGTGGAGCAACCGGGTCTTGAATTGGCACCCATATGGGATGTGGCACAGCAGGTAGTGGCTTAACCTGCCATGGCACTGGCCCCAAGGACTTCCTCTTGTAGTGAAGGTTCACCAGTAACAAACCCCCTTACCTTCTGTTAATGTGAGGATGTCTTAATTTTTCCTTGGTTCTTGCAGGTTCGTTTTATCAGAGAGCATTCTTGGTTGACCTTGTTTTCCTTTAACAGTTTAAATAGGTCATCTCACTGTGAGAAATCAGCTTAATCAAACTCATCATTCCTCGTATGTGGCAGTTACTTCCCTTGTTGCTTTCAAGGTTCTCACTTAGGCTTTGGCAGTGGCCTTGGCCCGTTTAACCACAACACATCTCAAAATTGATCTCTGAGTTTATCCTGCTTGGAAATTGTTGAGATT